CGAGTCATATGTCCTAGTGACATATTTAAACTCAAGATTATAATTTCCATTTCAGTTTGAAGTAGTGTATAACAGTAAGAGTAAAAAATTAAGAATGTAAGAGTATAGAGAAATATATATATATATATAATCAATCCGTTAAACTGCCTTGTTGCTCTGACAGCATAGCTCGGGTTGTGTCTCAGACAAGCTCTGTGCTGCACTGACGAGCCCACTAAGGGGACATTCTATTTCAAGTGTAACCACCTCAAAATTTTTAACCTCTTTGATTTTGCTCAAATTTTGTACAAAGTTTTCTGGTGCAAAGATACATCTGCTGTGAAAATTTCAGCTTCCTAGCTTGAGTGGTATTGAAATTACGACCGGTCAAACTTTTGAAATTTGTTGCAACCGGTCATTACTTGTGCCACACCTAAAATTGATATCTTCCTTCACACTCAACCTATAAAGATGGAATTGGTGTCAAATGAAAGCACTTGTCAAGTTGAAACTTAATTTCCAGTGAAATTGATGCTAGCCTCCAAGGCTCAAGGGCTGAGGTAAAATGTTATTTTTCAATGGCTGACCACGCCCAAATGGCAACGCCAATTTTCATGAAAATTTTTTTTCAATAAGATAAGTTCATAATAGAGCACCTCATTAAATTTAAAGATGGGGTGGGCATGGGTTTTATCACAATCAGTCTCAGAATACTGACAAGTCTTTATTAGATCTGTATCCTGCATAAGCATGACCTACTATGACATTGTTGTACTTTATGACATTGTTCTGTTATAGATGAATATTACATCAGTGCATGTGTGGAGTATAAAAATAAAGTTAAGCCTAATGCATCAACATGACAAGCCATCGCTGAAAGAAAAAAGCTTTTTTTCATAGCCAAAAACATCATTGAATGGAAACCTCCTGCTAATTCAGGAAATGACAACTTTACATTAATGGAATGTTAGTGAAAGTTAGTCTAGACATGTTATTTAACTTTATGATTTAAGAATTCCCATCAATTTTAAATAATTTCTGAAATTGGCTGTTCGTATCCTGTAATTGTCAAACCAGGAAGTCCTCTTCGATAGCACCTGTCTATTACAAGGAAACAGTAAATAAAAAACCAATGTAATGTGCTTTAGAAACTTCAAACAGACTTCAGACTTTGGTGAAAGCATTTAGTACATTACTGAAAAGGCAGTTTTCTAGTTTACGAGATTTAAGATGGCAGAACAACTTTCAAAACTGACAAGTATACAAAACAACCGAAAATATTGCTGTGACCCATTCCAAGTGCATAAAACCAAAAGAACAAAAGATTTGAGACTCGTAACTGCAGAGCAAGCGAAGTGCAATCCATCTTTGGTTCGAGTTGGAATGAAAATATGCACTAACTGTAGAAAACAGCTACAAAGAGTGGTTGGAGTAGAGCTGCCACTCGAGAATCTGCTCTCTGAAGAGGAGGATGACTTTGTTCCGCCTGAAATTGAATTTGAAAGCCTAAATGAAACTTTAGGGAAAATTGGAGAAAGCCCTCTGAGTCAACGAAAAATAATGTCAAGATCCCGCTACCTTCCTCAAAAAAAGAAGAGAGTGCATGACACCCTTGAAAGAAAATTTGATGCTGCATGTGGCTCCTCTCCATCGTTGATTATGGATGTTTCTTCGGATGAGGAAGATGGAATGCCAGCAGAAATTGTGCAAAAACTAATTGCAAAATTTCGCAGCACTGAAAGTAGAAGTGAAAAGATAACAGTTCTGACTATTTTTGTGCAAACATGGAGTCGAAGGAAAATAATGGCCACCTTTGGCTGCTCTCAAAGAATGGCTACACAAGCAATGCATTTATCATTGGAAAAAGGCATCCTTGCTACCCCAAATCCAAAAACTGGAAAAAAGTTGCCAGAGAATGTTTCAGAGGCTGTAGAAAACTTCTATCGGCAAGATGATATCAGCAGAGTTATGCCTGGAAAAAAGGACTGTCTAAGTATTCTTCGAGACGGCAAGAAGACTCTGTTTCAAAAAAGACTAGTTTTAGGAAATCTTCGGGAAATTTATCAAACATTCAAATCCCAACATCCATCAATGAAGATAAGCTTCTCAAAGTTTGCAATGGTTCGACCTAAAGAATGTGTTTTAGCTGGAGCAAGTGGCACTCATTCTGTCTGCGTTTGTACAATCCATAACAATGTAAAATTGATGATGAACGGATCCATGATGGCGTCTGTGACAGCCAATGAAGTAGTTCCTGTTAGTCATTATGGACACGCATTGGCTAAGATGATGTGTAATCCCGCAGTACCAAACTGTCATCTTGGTGAGTGCCCATACTGCCCTGGTAAACAGCCCCTGCGAGAGATGCTTTTAAAATGCTACGAAGATAACGATGTCGATGAAGTAGAGTTTAAGCAATGGACATCTACTGATCGCTCAAAACTAGAGACTATGGTAGAGCCAATAGAAGATTTTGTGGAAGCATTTATTGAGAAACTTGACACTCTTAAGCGACATGATTTCATTGCAAAACAGCAATCTCAGTATCTTTGCAAACGAAAGGAAGGTCTAGTAGAAGGAGAATATCTTGTGATAGGTGACTTTTCAGAAAACTTTTCGTTTGTTGTCCAAGATGAAGCACAATCATTCCACTGGAATAACAGCATGGCAACACTGCATCCATTTGTTTATTATTTCAAAGAGGATGGACAAATCAACCACAGCAACTTTGTACTAATATCAGATTGCCATACTCACGACACTGTTGCAGTCCACCTTTTTCAGAAAGAATTGATGAGACATCTTTCAGAAAAGTTTCAGGTGCTGAAAGCAATTATCTATTTTTCTGATGGCTGTGCAGGCCAATACAAAAACCTCAAGAATTTTTGTAACCTGTGCATGCATCAATATGATTTTGGTGTGCCGGCTGAATGGCATTTTTTTGCAACAAGCCATGGCAAGGGGCCTTCAGATGGCATTGGAGGCACTATCAAAAGAGAAGCAACCAAAGCAAGTCTGCAGCGACCTTACCGTGATCAAATTTTGTCAGCTCTGAAGCTGTTTGAGTTTGTTGATTCCCATCTTAAAGGCATCAATGCAAAATTTCTCACTGCTGCCGACTGGTATTCAGAAGAAGAAATTCTTCATGAAAGATTTCAGACTGCTAAAACGATTGCTGGAACACAAAAATTACATTGTTTCAAACCAATTTCAAAATATTCTCTTCTTGTCTCAGAATACAGTGAAAGTGAAGTGACAAGGGAAGTTCAAGTAATCAAAGCAGGCTGTGGTCATATTGAGCTCAGTAAGATTACAGGCTATGTTGCTGTAGTTTATGACAGCAAGTGGTGGGTGGCATATGTTTCCAGCATTCAACCAGAAACCAATGAAGTGACAATAAGCTTCCTGCATCCCCATGGCCCAAACCCTTCATTTGTGTATCCAGAACCTTCTGAAGAGCTTGCTGTTGATGTCTCAGACGTACTTGTGCAACTTAATCCGGTCACTTTTACAGGTCGCACCTACACATTATCAAAAGGGGAATCACAAGCAGCAAGCATGTCTTTACAAAACAGATTACAGATGGAATAATTTTCTGAAACAAAAATTCTCTCTAACTGCAATGAACATGACACTTGTTATTAAAATCAAACTACCGCTTGTATGCATTGCATGAAGACTTACATTGACTTTTAACCTTTCAAGATAATACTCATCAGTATTCTGAGACTGATTGTGATAAAACCCATGCCAACCCCAATTTTATATTTTATGAAGTGCTTTATCATGAATTTATCTTAATGAAATAAAATTTTCATGAAAATTGGCGTTGCCATTTGGGCGTGGTCAGCCATTGAAAAATAACATTGTACCTCAGCCCTTGAGCCTTTGAGGCTAGCATCAATTTCACTGGAAATTTACTTTCAGCTTGTCAAGTGCTTTCATTTGACACCAATTCCATCTTTATAGGTTGAGTGTGAAGGAAGGTATCAATTTTAGGTGTGGCACAAGTAATGACCGGTTGCGACAAATTTGAAAAGTTTGACCGGTCATAGTTCCAAAACCACTTGACCAATCGAAAAAAAAATTGAAATATAGAAAAAGATCGGTTTGCTTAACATAATACTAGATTTTAAACAAAATCCATGACAAAAATTTCAAGTTTGGACTTTTTTTGGTTACACTTGACATAGAATGTCCCTATAACTGTAAATATTATTCAATAAAAAAAACTGTTATCCATTGCAAAACCTTATCTCATGCAGGTAATCAAAATAATTATGAATTTTAATAAACAGTTGTCTGAAACTTGATGCTGCAACTTGGAACCGTCCTGTTTTTAACACCAAGCGTAGCAATCAATATTTTGTCAATTTATCATTATCGTCGAAACAATTCGCTCCAACTAGCAATTCTGATGGTGCAGCAAAATCAGAATCTTGTTCAAGGTGAGATGAGGGGGGCGGTTGGGGGGAGGTTGGGGGGCTTATTTGTAATCGGAGATCTGCGGTACAGGTATCTTTTGCTGCTTACCTGGGAATCGACAGAACAAAATATTACAGTTTGGCCAACATGAGACCAATTAGCAAACAACTTTTCTGCCTCGATTAGAATCTTTACTCCCGAATCTCGTAGCAGTTTCAGGTTGCCTACAGCAACAGCATGTCCATGGACATGGCCCGTGAGACCGAGGCCAGGAAGAGATTTGAATTTATCCACATCTGGTAGACCCACTCCAGCACCAAAACTGGCGATTTTATCCGTGATGCACCCAGCATAGTGATTTACAATGGCAGCAGCAACCGGGTGACTTGACTTCATTTCCAACGCAGCAACCATCTGAAGCATTTCGTTGCTAGGTATGGTTGGAAAAGGAACCGTTAGATCTGTGAATACTTAACCCTGACAAATTCAAGCAGTTATATCAAATTGGAATTTATGCGAATTTATGCAGTATTCGCATGTGATGGCAGTAAATCGAGCTTTTGACAAAACATTAAAGCTACGGAGAGATCAAGAAAACATTTCACCTGAAATATAACGAATAAAATGACAAATAATTTGACAAATAAGATTGTTGTAAATGAGAAGCTCTACTAGCATTACTTGACTGTAGACACACACACTAACAACCTAAAAAAGCCAAACTACAAAAAACTGTGCGTGTTATCTTAATGGTAAAAAGAGAAAATAAATTGATATTGAAAAACCATACTAATCAATATCCTCTCTGAATTCCTTCAAATTGACGACCTTAAATCTGCCTTCTGTGAGTGTACCAGTTTTGTCAAAAGCGATTGCCTCGACCCCTGCAAGCAGTTCCATATCGTTGCCACTTTTGATGAGTGCCCCATTCTTGGCTGCTGTTGTAATGCCACAAACCATAGGAATGGGTACTGACATAACAAGTGCACAAGGACATGCAACGAGGAGCACAATAAGGGCGCGAATCCCCCAACCATGCAGCTGAGATGCGTAGTTGCCAACCTAAATCGAGAAAATCTCACTTATAAGAAAGTGCCATGAACAAATTTACAATATACTTGATTGATTGGCCATGGCTATTTCATGCTGGTAGTGACAGACTCTAATTGGCTTGATGTACAAGCCACTATACATCTTTTTACATTTACCAATAAATAGAAGGTTCCTTTACCTTTAACTCAGCGAGAATTGCAGGAACTGCAAAGACAAGAAGGGCAACTACAAGGACAAGAGGAGTGTAAATCTTTGCGAACTGATTCATCATCTTCTCCGTATGCGAAGCTTTCGCTTGCGCCTCTTGCACCATTTGTGTGACTTTTGAGACAGTTGAGTCTTCTGAAGTACTTGTTGTTTTGATCTTAGAAGAAATTAATGGATAGCTGCATTAGCCAGAAGAAAAGTCATTACTTGTTGTAAAAACCAATATCTGTTGAAAATTATAGGCCTAATTGACAAGTTTTTATTGATAAAATTGTAAACTTCAAGAGAAAGGAAAACCTCCTCATTACACAGATAAAGTTGATACCCAATTTGGTTTGTGACATAGGCTAGGATTGAACAAGGTGTTGCTTAGACTATTTGTCATAAAGACAGCAAAATCAAATACCTCTAAGTATCCACTTTGCACAATTGTACCACTGAATGTTTTGCAACCAGGCGCCTTCTCAATAGGCATAGACTCGCCAGTAATAGAGCTCTCATCAACAGAAGCTTGGCCTTTGACAACGTCTCCATCAAGAGCAATTTTCTCGCCAGCACAGACAAGAATCCTAGTTCCAATTTCGATTTCTTCAACTGGGACCGTTTTCCCTGTTTCTGCCAGCACTGCATGGTCAGGGGCATGTACCAAGATACCTAGGAGAAAAGGACAGATTCCTTGGTTACTGGGTAAAAGTTACCCCAAAATATTGCCATTATTATGTGCTTTTTAGCTGCTTTTGTCCGTAAGAATAAACAAGCAGACTTGATAAAGGTTTCAGTTTGACAAACAATTATACATCAGGAGCATCCAGAAAATAAATAAAAAAAATGTCACTTGAGGGGTATTTATCATCTATAGGAAGACGGAACTTTTCATAGTTTGAATTTTAAGCAACTTTTATGAGGCGAAATAGCAGTATCCAAAGATTTACTCCTTAGCACTATATCCAAGATATGGAAAATGGAGAAGTATTCAGAACTTGTGGCATTAAAGATGATACATTCAGTGGCGTCACAGCCTCATTGTACGCCCCCAGTAATAATCCTGTGCAGGTAGAAAAAGCTATAAAACTTTTCATGTACAACACTCCTTTGGCTCCTAGGTGTCCCCTGGAGTGTAGAGGATGCAGATGTTGTTGTGACGCATGTGGATACATTATGGCAGTCACAATAGATTACACGAATAGAAACTATACATAACATTTGAAAATGGTTGACTCACTCCAGATATTCATTAGACCTTCTGACTAATTATGACTTTAAATAATTAAGACTTTTTTATTCAAAAGATCAAAAGAAAAAAAGGAAACCATCCTTTGCTTACCTGAAATAGCAGCCTGCACTTTGTAACTACAATATTGCTGCAACACTTCTGCAATAGCAAACACAAACACAAGTGTTGCACCTTCAATCCATTCCTGTAATGCAATTGTCCCTGCAACTGCAATCAACATCAGCACATTGATATCTATAAAAACTTTCTTCATCCAGTTCAATATTGCTTTCCGCAAAATTGGCAGACTCCCAACTATAATCTCAGCAATCGCAACCCATTTCTGCCATGAAAAATTCTTAGAACGTCCAATGATGACCACAATGAACAATACCAACAGGACACCAAGGACAGCACACTTTGATCCAAGCTTCATTATCACATCTCTTCTTAGAACCTGAGCACCTTCTTGGTCCCCAGATTCCATAATACTTACGCCAAGATGCAATTGGTTCAACTTATTTATTATCTCTACAGCTGAAATGACCTCTTTGTCATGTTTCACAAATCCTATTCGACCAACAATATTGATGGTCACAGACTTGACACCATTAAGAGGTTCTAACTCTCGTTTTATCAAATCAGCCTCTTTACCACAACAAATATTCTGGACACGAATTTTTGTTGTTATAATTACAACAGGTCTTTCCTCCAAAAAGATTTCACTAAATTTTGAATCAGTTTCAATGTCCTGAGATGGATTTTGGAATACAGAATATTTGTATCCTTGGCCCTTAGTGTGCTTTATTTCGACTGGTTCACAAAAAGCAGCACTCCCATAACTCATCCTGCCTTCATTTCCAGCTAAAAGCTTCTTTTTCCCATCACTGCTGCAAGATTTCACATCTATACTCACTTGAATTTTTTCGTCAAGAAGCTTTCTCTGTTCATCAAATTCATTCATCAATCTATCTTTTTTTCCACTGCATTTTTCTTTGCATACTTTCCTTTCTGTGCATTTCTTACTGCTATCTGCACTTCCTCTCTCACTATTTATCTTGAAACTGTCACCTGCACACCTATTTTCATTGCAGCAGTTGTTTTCACCTTCCAATTCATTGGTAGTTTTGACATTTATCCCATGGTCAACTGGCACTGTTCTATTCTCTTGGTCTACAATCTCTGCAAAGCATGATTTTGGTGCAAACTCATTTCTCTTATTACAACACATCTCCCTCTCTTCCACCTCAGAGTTCTTAACATCCTTGCAGCATCCTTCAGTGCCCTTCGTTTGCTCCAACTTCACATCATCTGATATCAAATTACTCTTTATTTTATCACCCATTGCCACTTTTTTATGACAACTAGGCTCATCTTTCTTAATACAGCATGTTTTGACGCTTCTCTGATCTCTAACGGCTTTACCAGGAAGTTCATCTCTGTCTGCTTCAGAATTTAAAATACTTTTTCCAGATGGCTGACAACAGGTTCCAGCTGATTCATTTGGTTTACAACAAGATTCAGCACCTTGAAAACCAACTTGGTCACTGCACTCGGCAGAGATACCCTTCTCCTCAGCAGTGTCTATGTCTTTCTTGCTCTTGCAACAAACATTGCCTGAAGACTCATCTGCCTTTGACAAATCCTTCTTTGGATCACAACACTTACTTGAGCAGGATACATTAGAACAGACTTCCTCTGGACAAAACTGGCTAATATGAGCATCTACCTTCTTGCAGCATTGCTCTTTTGTAGTTTTTACATCAACTGATTTCATATAATCTTTAGTTTCACTTGGCATTGCTGTTTCTGATGAGCAGCAGTCACCATTCTGGTCACAGCAAGTACCTTCATCACAAGAATCTGTTCCATCAGCTGTCAAAACATCCCCTGGTTTGTTTGCGCTGACTCCATCACTACAGACTTTGCTGTAGCTACTCCCAGACTGACAGTCTGTAGTATCATCAGATGCACAACACTTCTCTTCACAATCCATTCAGATACAAAATCTGTAAGAAATCATTTAAAATAGTAGATCAGTTTTGGTAATTGATAACAAATCCTATATGAAAAAATGGCGTTAGCATGTTAATTTTGATGAGATACTTTGATACTGTATGCATTACAACATGATTTCTGAATTTTACACCTAATGCACTTTTGGTTCAGACTATATTTCTTATGAAAACAAAAAATCATATTTCTGAGTTTGTCTGCTTGAAATTAGAATCAAAAACAGAATTTTATAGCAAGCTATGGTCTTTAAAAGATTAGGTACCCTGGAGACAAATATCAAACAAATGTTTGTTACCATGAAACATCCAAAGAAAGCAAGTAGTTTGATTTCACAACATATAAGTGATGTGTGAAAATTGTCCAGCTGTGTAAACAGATACGAGAAAAAACATTAGAATGGTGCTCTTGTTTTCATCAGCTGTGCAAAGTTAAAATTGAATCACTGCCACAACAAACTCAGGCATTACAAAAAATTAAAGTAATTGGCCTCAAGCAGACATTGAAACAATTATTATGAAGTAGCGAAGGAAACTTGATTTTGGTCTCTTTAGAATCATGGACAGCATTTTGCTTCACCATGTGGAGCCTTGCATATATACCTACTTATAGCATAGAATTGGAGAAAATAAAACTACATGTTTTATCTCTACAAGCCTGTTTCATGAATAACTCTTCAGGAGATCTCACGGAAAACATGTAGTTTTATTTTCTGCAACTCTATATTACGCTCTATGTGCATATGCATCAAACAATGTGCTATGGAACTGTCAATAGACAGATTTCTATATACCTACTTATTCATAATACACATGATAGTTCCTTTGTAATTATTTATGTCGTCATTTGTTCAAAAACCCCTGTCTAGAAATGACCCAAATTACTCATAGAATGTGGACATATGCTTTTGAAGCAAGGATCTGGTGAATGAAGCTACCATAATGATCAACAACATGGGTTAGTTATGTTTCAGGAAAATTCACATTGAAAATCTGATATTTTATTTCAGAAGTGATATTTTCTTTATTATTGATATGGAATCCATGAAATATTCACGTCGGATATATATACATCAATAAACAATAGCAATACACTGGTTCAATACATATATTTGACAGACTGTGAAGTTGGGTCTTCAATAATTTTTATCCTTTATTCCGCTCGCGCATCAAGAATCTGTCGTAGATTCCGCGCACTGACTTCTGATAACAAGAAAAACAAAGAATAAAAGGTTTCTCTAAAGCTTTTGCTTCAAATTCCGCGCATGATTTCGTGGGAAACGTTCGTTATCGTTCTGGCGTTCCCTGCCCCGAAGAAATACTTAACAAACAGTCTGGTTATATTTGTAACAATTTCACGTGACGACTTGGACATGATATTGTGGATTTGAAAGTAACAAGAAATGGTCAAAATAGCGGCGAAGTGAATTTCGACATAAATCAAGTGGAACAGCCAAAGAGGCAGTGATCAGGTACCTTGTATTGTTTCTTCCTACCTTACTTTTGCAGAATTCAGTGGTGTAGAGCTGCCGCCATTTTCGAAGATCCAAAGGCCAAAAGCAAGCGCTACTCCGCAGAGGTATTCATGATGACGTTTCGAAACTTGACTGGACACGCTGAGCTGTCTGGGCCTTTTGCTTTGGGGGGAAAGTCTGGGCAATTTTTTCACAATAATCTTTCTTTAAAATCTTTGCTTTAAGTTTCTTTGCAACAGCCTGCAGTATAGCAGCTAAATGTTTTCTTTACATATTGTTTTCGTCGGCAAATTTTACTCTTGATACCCTTCCGTCCTCCTAGCCTGCAAGATCAAGTTACACCACTGATTGTAGTTTGTTCAGACCTGTTTCATCTCAATTCATTTTGGATAATCAATGTTCTCATTGGAGAGCCTCTTGGAAAATAGCTTTGTTGAAGAGCCAAAGAATGCACGAACTGCTGCAATATCGCTGTTTGTGAAAGTCCGGGAGTAATATTGAATGCAAGAAAAAATCCTTTTGAAATAACTTTTTTCAAGCTCAAAAAAATTTTTTACGTTATAGAGCAAAAAAATCTTGTTCGTCTTTTGAACTCGATTGCAAAACTCGCTTCATTATGATACTGTATATGCCTGGTAAATTAAAGTCTGTCTTAGTATATCCTTTCTTTAGAAAAACTCACAGAAGACAGCAATAGCTTAAAAACAAAGACAATATATTTTTATGTAAGAACACATGAAATTGGCGTGGGCATTCAATAAATAAGCCCACGCTAAAACAGTTCAACTTACCATTTTTAATAAATTTTTTTATCAAATTTAAAAGAACGTTGATCTCAAAAGACAATGAAAATGTGTGGTTATGGGTAGACAAGCTACCAAAGAGAAATTATGGTTCATGTACGAAAATTTTATTTTGCCTGCGATTGTAGAAAATTCCTAAGTTATTGAATCTAAAAGCTTTTGTAGTCTGCTTCCATTAAGAGGGATCTACAAGAGATATAAAAAATCTGACCAGCTTAGTAAACATCCTAGCAAAGCGAATCTCCTGGTAAGTTGGATAAAATGAAAAATATGATTCTAAGCACAAGATTTAACGAATTCAGGATAAAAGGAGACGCCCATGTACACTTGCTAAAAACATAAAGGAAGTTAATTTTGGCGGATATGTTTTATGCACAATTCACAAGAATTTATTTTCGTGGAATATTAAAAGTCGAGACTTCACAGATCGATGTGAAAACATGTTTCGCGGAATTCAGTTTTGTGGATCAGAGTAAATGAGAAAATATTTTTTTGTTTCTTTTTAAGCCAATCTGATAGAATCTGCAAGAATGTTGTGTTCGGCAGCAGCTGAAGCAAGGTACTTGCTCTAAGCGACTTTATGCAGTACCGCATATATTCGCATTAAAGATCTGGAGTTTAGCTTTCACCTGCCAGACGGAGACATTCTCCGTCATAAATCTTAGAAATTGACCGCAAATGGGGCCTAAAAAGCCATACTCTGAACAAAGTTGACCTTTTCGTAGCTCGTATACTTGATGACGTATAATGTGAAATGGTATTGTTCAGTCTTTCTCCTGGAGGCAGGCTTCAGAGCTGAATAAGCGTATTCATGGAAAAAAAATTTAACCCAAAACTCTATTCTACCCTTCTAGACTTTTCAAAAGTCTATTTTTTGTTAAATCTGTAAAGCATTCGTTCTGGTCACATTAAGAAGGCATTGCTACCATTGTGTACTACTGCGAGGGCAAGTCAAACTCCTCTTAAGAGAAGAACAGAAGCACGCATGCAGTGGAGTTAAAAGCCCGACCTATGAAGCAAACGAAATTGTACTAGTTATAGTATAAAACAGAGATCTAGGCATAAAAGCTAAATCGAAGAAAGACTTCTGTAAGATGGTGAAAAGAATTTGTTCTTGAACACAAACTAGAAACAAATTACAATTAAACACAAACGTACATTAAACAGTTTTGCACAAGAATATATGACAGGGGTCGTATAGACTAGCGAGAAACCAAAAAGACCATAACTACATGTGATATTTATAATTACAATTAACAGATAACGATAAAGCATATCGTCCAACTACAATCATTTTCCTTGATGGTCAACATTAGACGAGTTATTTTTCACTGTATAAAAGTCAGTATTATTTTCTGCGAATGGGATCGCTGGTGTTTATGTGCCAGCTTTTGACTAGGTTGTGTCCATCGGAAGATTGGCCCATTCTGGCACCTGCTGTTGAATCTTTTCCAAAACATCGTTAACTTGAAGGCAGACACCTTGGATCTGTTTGTCCCAAAACAAAAGTGTCTGCTGAGCTGTAGAATCAAGCATAAAAATTATTGAACAAAATTTAATGAAATAAAAAACGACTTTGTACAAGAAATGACTATTTGGAACGACGTTTCGAGCATAACTCTCCATAGCTCTCATCGTACCAAATATTCATTTCTTGTTCAAAGTCGTTTTTTATTGCATCAGATTTTCTTCGTTTTCGACGTACAACACGCACAGCTTCATTGATTATAATAATTTTTGAAATTGATAAAAATATCATTTGATGATTACATTGTCCCTTATGATGACATTGAGATAAAAACAGGCTTTAGTGTAACGAGCAATTTCGGATATTTTCAATTGTTGTTAGTTTTACAAAGACGATAAGAGAAGACTATGTTCTTCCTTCTTTTTCTCCTTAAAATGTCAGGTGATAAACTGACAAAGGTGATTTGAGATTGCTATATAATTGCTTAACCAAAGCATTGTGAGTCACTTAAGAAGAACAGTACTTTCCCGTTTTAAAAAGCAAATAAAGTTTATCTGAACATAGAGACATGCTACTTGAATCTGATATATTTCTATAGAAATCAATTTTATTTTGAAAATACTGTCTGAATGCCACATTGCTTACCACAAAGTAGATATCACTTCTATGATACTGCCTTTTGATATCATAGCTTGATAAACTGATTCATTTTAAGTTTCTAATAAAAGTCTTCTTGTAGAAAGAGAGTCTGCAGCTTTACCATTTTGTGATAGCACAACAATTCGTTATTTCTCGATCAATTTACCCTATCCGCATGTTTTTAACTAACAAATTAGCAAAAATTTGACCAAAAAGTTCAATACATTCATTTTCTACAGTTTTTCTTCAATTTATTTTGACAAAAACAATGTGAATAGTCTGCTGTGCCTTACAGTTACCATAGAGACAAACGTTTCTGCTGCTACTTGGGAAAATGTTTATTCCGATAAATATAACATTAATTAGTTAAACACACAATTTTGGTCCCTTCGCTGCTATCAGCTGGACTGAATTACACGAATTAAAAAGTTTGAACAAACCTTCAAAATGTAGAAACCCGTCAATCTGGTCAATGGATCCGCTCATTCTTCCCTCAGATATCATTTGTGAAGCAATTCGCTCAGCCTGTTGATCAAAAATCAAATGATCAATGTTGACTTTTCATTAGATCGAGGAATAATTTACTTTGACAACCTATGAAATCGTTTTATACCAGGCTCGACTTAAATTCAACCGTTCTATTCAATGGCTGTGGTGGAAGTTTTCATTCTGTAGAAAGTTGGATTGTCGACTGTTTGGGACAGAAGATTCAAAGACAGAGCAGCAAAGTCAAATGATGTAACAAATCAAAATTAAGGAAAAAGAAATGAAGCTAACTTGTTTTTGACATGGTATCAGAAAAACTTACATGACAACAATTTGATTAAACCGTCCTCATTCATACGAAAAACCATTGTCGATAAGCTTTCTACGTCATAGCAATAATCATCAAAATTGAAGCTTTGCTAAAAAGACACAAAATACAAATTTTTGCAAATTTACTCACTTTTGTTGATGGGATTTCCAAAAGAGCACCTAGTTCTTCAAATTTAATGTTATTGTACAACTTGCTGACGGCAATCAAATTGTGTTCAATAACGGCACGGTCCAAGATGCTTGACCCTGCACAGTACAAAACCAATATAACAGTGTAATGATTCGAGAGAATTAAAAGCCAAAAAGAATGTGGTTTCAATACGAAAGCCATCGACTGATTTCATATGCGAGCAATATCATATAAAATTGAATTTTTTAGAGGTTTTGTAACTATCAAATCTTACCCATATGGCCAATCTAACATTATCAAAAACGTTTTACAATACGGAAGTTATTTTCGAAAACATATCATCGACATGGCCATCCAGGAAGCTTGGAATTTTCAAATCGACATAATTATGAATAGTCTTATAAAAACTGACCATAAAATCATATATCAACGATGTAAAACTATCCAAATAGCTCATTCCAATGGAATAACATCTAAATTTATAACATCATCAAAAGATCATCACATAAAAAACAATACTCTACTCTAGATTGTTTGAATTTTGTTGATTAAGTATTTACATCCATAACTAACTGATGATATTTTACAGATTTGATAATAATAGTTTTAATTCACCTGAAAACCATAAAAAGCATGGAATTTATAAAGAGCAATGTGGTAAAATTAAAGCTTAAACTCACCATCTGCTGTAGTCGCTTTTTGATGAGGAGCCAGAAGATTAGCGAACTCTTGAAGCTGAGGCCCTCTGATTATTCTATCTAAATACCTGTAAAATGTGACGAATTGAAGTTGTAGGTAATAGATGCAGATAGGAAATATTACAGGAAAAATTAAAGAAGGGAATTCTTAGATTCCTAGTCAAAAGGAAACAGGATTATTGTCAAAATAAAACAGACAACAGAAATATAGAAGGAACTTAATGGACAGATACCATTTTCTAAGTTTGAGGATAACCTAAACAAGGCGAATTTTGCTAACCCAAGAAAAAGTAACTTAAGTGTAAAAATATGATTTTAACGAATAGTAAACGAGTAAATCGACGACTTGGAATGGTTTGAAAGAGACAAATTATCAAGGTTTACCAATATTATTCACTCATTCCGTCGCCATGAAAATTTGATATTAATTTAAAGGTATCGAGATGTGGGTTTGAGGTTCAAAGTAGTTTGGTTTTCTAATAGATCTACTTCACTACAAAGCTATGAGACAAATCCCTAGCCTTTACACTTAACTGAACGTTAGAAAATATTTAAAAACTGAGAATTGCTACGAAGTGATCGTAAGGTTTTCAAAGCCTAAGGGTAACCGTCCAGATAAATGGATGAATACTTTTACGGACTCTTGATTTATCGAAGAAATAATCACTCTTTGTTGAATGAAAGACAAGTGTTGGTTGTACATTAAATCACAACAAGAAAAACAATCTTACATTTTTTCTAGGATTTCGAAAGCAGGTAGATGCTGACATCTCTCATCTTTGAAAAGATTAGCAAGCATTCGCGACCTCTGCTGCCCCGCAGAGGCCAATATGGTGCATATCAGGGCATGCCTCAGCGCTTCTAGTCGTTCTTCTTCATGAACAAGCGGGCTGTATGACAATTCTACATAACGCTGAGCTGCTTCGATGAATTTTCGTCGGAAATCTAGAACTCTTGCATAGCAAACCTGAAACAAGAATTCTTTAAACACTACAAGACACTCAAGGGAGAACTAATTTCCAGAGGTTGCACCAGGATAGGGTAGGGTTGCCATAGCCCCCTATAGTCAGACTAGGACTCACTGTGATCAGAGTGTAAAATAGAATAACCAATATTATCAATCAAATGGTTATTATTTTCTTGATTTAACAATATCTCTAAAAATGACCTGACCACGAAAGTATCAACCATAGAAAATGGGAAAATGGCAATAACAAAATATATAAAGGTGTTTCATTCGCTTTGAATGCATATAGGAAATATTTCAGAAATGATAGTATTCTGTTCATGATAAAAAATCATTCACTAATTATGTATGTAAGTCTGCAATGCATGAAAAAACCACCATTAAGGGTTTCTCATTTTGCTTGCACATACACTGTGGTAGATCACCAAATACATGAGAACGAATGATTTTTTACCTTGAACAAAATCTGAAGTTGTTTATCTTTTGTTTCAGCTTGTAGTATTGATGCTCTGTTAATGAATGCCTCAGCTTGAACTGGGTCGTCATCTTCCAAATACAATTGGGCTATCTTTAAATAAATCTCTAACTTGAAATCATTTGAATATATCCTGATAAAAAAAATGATAACATGAAGTAAGTTAATCAGCAAAATTTAGATATTGCATGTTACAATGACTAGTTTATTGCATCAGCAGCTCCTTTTGCAAGCTAGGAGAAAGTAATTAATTTTCCTTTTTGAACAATCATTTTATTCTTTATTTCACATGTGCAACACTACACAAGGATTCAGTTATTGAGTACAATAACACCAGGAATCTTTTTAGAATCTCTATGTGATAAGTTGGCACAAGCAACACAATTCTTTCCATTCTTATAATTTTAGAAAACTACAGATGTCAGCCCCATTGCTAATAATAAAATATAAAATCTGTGCCAATATCACATAAATTGTTCAAAAAGTATTTGATAGTGCAATTACCCATACCTCATAGACAGAAATTCAAACATACAACAAATCAGGACATAAATGTAAAAAAGAACATGCTGTGAAGGAAGGATAATGGAGAAAAAAGTAAAGGATATGATTGCTTACATAGATCTATATACATATATAAACAAACTAAAAAATATTTATCAGCACAAATATCTATTCAAGAAATAGCAAAAGAAAGTTAAAGATGGTTTGATATTCAAATTTCAAATACAAAAACTCAAGAATAAACCATACTTTTGTCCTCCTTCCAGCGGTATACCAACAAGAACTTTTGCAGCTGCTCTCCACTCCTGTTCTTGCTCATATAAAGAGGCTAATTTATGGCGGATTGCTACAAGCTAAAAAATGAATGCAATGAATAAGACTTAAATGAAAAAGAGCATTCCCAAATATTTGCTTTCTTCAAAGCAATTTTAAAATTCTGTATCTCAAAAAGATTGCTTGAGAAATAAATTTGCAAAAGTTTCTGTAAAATATATTGTGCTCATCAACTTGCTAACTGGATCAATGTTATATTCTATAAATTACAATGAAACACATAGGTTTTAAAACCTTACTTGTTCTTCAAATGCAATGGCTCTGGGTTGCAATTTTTCTAACGCAAAATTACAAATTGCTTTTGTATTTCCTGTTTTGAATGATGGCAGCTTGGCACAAATATCTGATATCAACTGTCTTGATACAACAACACTAACACTCTCTTGGGCAACTACGAGGCAAAAATTACTTTAAGATGTCTTTTTGACACATTCTAGAGTACTTTATTTCAGCAATATGAGAAGCAAAAATTTGGTAATTAATATAACAAATATTCTGAAACAAAGTCTTTGAGTATGCTAAATGATTTCTCAGCTTACAATAATATACTTTGAATGTGTCTGTGTAAGACAGTCAATTAGGTAGAAAAATCAACAATTGTTTTATCAGAAAAACTTTTGTCTGTTTGTCGTTATGAGAAGCTACAAATAATGTAGCCCAATTAGGATCGGCTTTTCTTTTCTCTTGACCATTATCATCATCATCATCATCATCATCATCATCATCATCACCATCATCATCATCATCATCATCATCATTATCATCATCATCATCACCAGATGCATTTAACATCTATTTTACATGCTAGCATGAGCTTGAAGGATTTGAGAAATTTCACTCAATGTTTATATGCAAGAATAAGGCTGACATATACATCTGATTTTGCACCTTAATGTTCTGTTATAGATAAATACATGCGACCAAAAAAGTACAATTTGCTTGTAGCCAACTTTGGTCCCATTGGCACAGCCCTAAACATCAAACTCTAAATGCCTGCAGCTACACAATGTGGAAACCATAAAGTTTTTCTAGACCTGGACCCTAGGGCAGATTCAGTCCAGTTTATTTTTTATACTTTAATTTCCACTTAATACAGCTAATCCTAAAATAACCTTGCAAATAAATGATTAAGCAACAAGAAAATTGGACAACATAAAAGGAAAATCAATTATAATACAATACTGGACATCAATACAATCAATATACAAACATGATGCAAAGGAAAATGATAAATTGCATAGATGGAATTACTTAAAAAGTCCAGGGAACTCTCTCAGTAGCTAAATTAATCAAAGAGAGAGCATCCCCTATGATTTTTTAACATCAAGGGATATATTACTGAAGTTTTAAGTAAGTAGATAAAAAAATCTACAAGTAAGTTTACAAAAGTGTAAAACAGGATTTTGACTTCAAAGTTAGATTTTTACCCTAGAAAAGAAGTCAAAGAATGGAAGTTCGTAAGATACTGGAGTTTCAATGTTTGCAAATTCAAATGAATGTATCATCTTGGTCATCACCTGAAAGTCTGTTTATGAAAGTGATTGCAACATTCTCCTAAACAGTGATAAAAAAGAGGCGAAAAAGAGAAGGCCTACTTTCCTCGCGAAGTAACTCACCTGTTTTTATAAAAACTTGCAGTCCACTAACAACCTTATCTTCAGCTGAATCGAGTATCTGCTGGAGTATCTGTCTATATTTCTCTACGGAATCTTTGTGCGAACTAGAACTACAAGAAAGAGCTTGGAGTTCTGCAGTCACCCAGTCAGACTCCATTTTCAAATGAAAATCCAAACGAGGCTCGCATAATGAATTAAGTTCAAAAGCTGAGACACCAAATAGCGTCCTTGTGGGACATCTTACAATTGCCGTATTTCTTAGAAATTTCAGTTCAGAAAACAGTTTTGCAATAATATTAAAGTTGTTTTTTGTAAATGTCTGGTCGCGTCAGGAAAAGGAGTTTTCTCGACTGTTATGAATGTGGACAAATGCCCATTCGCAAATCGCATGCAATAGCATAGGTTCCAAATCTTTGATTGGCTGAGCAACCTACAATCCTTGCCAAAATGCATTGATTTATGGAAATTACCTATTCTGCGTAAAGACAGTTTCTGGTTTTCTGAAAAAGATTCAAGAGCATACCCGATCAAAGAAAATGTAAGAAAATGGAATGCTTACAGAATGGTTGCGTCCACGTCAGTGGGTGAAGGTGGCCTCCACCAACACCTGGACCCTAGTACAGACTTATTAGAGACAATTTTTACTCTTCTGTTAGCCTTTTGTTATCCCTTGTTTATGATTAACACCGCTTCCACTCTGGCAATAGCCAACCTTAGCTTGGATTTGTTGAACCAAACCAAATGCAACATTTTGTAGAAATCAGCAAACTGGAGCGCTGGGTGGAAATGGTATTAATCCTACTTCTAAGTTAATTTTCCTTTTCCATTTTTTTTCCTTTTTACTCCAGATTGGTTGTATAGCCTTTAGGAGTTAACGATTGAAGATTGAAGATTGAGCAAAGTAATTTTTCGTAAATGATACATATTTCATTTTCCCGCCCTTTTCATGGTTGACGAATGGCGTCAGCTTTTACAAGGCCGCAGCAGTGAACATCAGTGGACGTGAGTTTCTCATCGATCTTCAAGCCTTTAAAACACATATATAAAGTACCTGAGCGCAAGAGAAATTGTACAATTGTAGTTATTTTGAGAGAAAGATGGACTGCATTTTTTCTCAGTGGAATTTAGCGATTCTTCCCCGTCAGTAACACAAGCATCAATGCCGACAAGAAAAGATGTAAACAGTGGCTTGTAAAGGTAAGTTCATATTTAGTTAGTTAAGTAGATAAAACAGCTCTAAAGGATTAAAAACTGTAATTTTTTATGTTATCCATTCCCCCTAACTATTATAAGGGTTTGAAAGGGACAGTTTCAAGCCTTCGTAACTGACGAAGAACTTCGCGGAAGAATTTTGACTGAGTACAACGGCAGTTTTTTCATAAATTTATCAAAGATTCAATTTTTAAAGAAAGATTTAGTTCATCACATTTTACACGTTTTTTGTGGGTAGTGATAAAAACGTCCAAAACAGGCCTAAATCTAGCTGCGAGACACGTTTGTTGTCATACTCTTGAATTTTGATTAACTAATGAAGTATGGAGAATTTAGGTCGCTCGGCCAATCAAAGATTTGGAGCCTATGCTGCATGCAATTTGTTATTTAGGAATTGGAGCATAGTCAAAATATCTATTTTTGTATGCTAGCAAAAGGGCGCTTAGGTATTGCTCTGACCAAGACCTCAAAATCCTAAAAATGGTTTCATTGAAAGAACGAACTTTTTTCATGGGTATTAATTTGTTGGGCAATTAAGAAAATGTTTTGGAAGCATATACCCTTAGAAAAAAATGTCCAATAGACAATTATAATTTAGGCGTATGCTCGATCCAAGCCTGGCAGCTAACACAAAGTCGCGTGTGAAATTCAAGATCTTGTCCTTCCAAGACTATCCTTATTTTCCTCAATTTGGCTGCTCCTTTGGGCTTTACGTTTCAGAATATTCACTTAAGTCTTTAACAAATAAATGTTCAGCCGTCCTCGAGGATTTTTACCCTGCCTATATCATTTTGCGAGCGAATAAATTATGCTTTGGAATATCTAGAAAACGCATATATTGATATTTCTAATTGTTTCACACCCTATTTTTTGCATATAATACCGCGCAGAGGTCAAAACTATACAATATGGCTAGAATAATGAGCCGAGTTTTAAATTTATTGCAACCGTTTAGCGTAAATTTAAATTCGCTACAAAAGAGTTGAATCAATCTCCTTTCTGCTGCAGATGAAGGCAAAGAGAAACTCGATAAAATGCTAATTTCTAACTAAATTAGATTTATAGAGAATATCAGGTTCTGCTCTGACAAAATAAATTGCTAATAAGCAAATATTGATTGTTCGCGGTGAATAGAAATGAAATTTCTGTACAGAGAGCTGTGCCATAAACACATAATATACAATTGCGTAGAAAAATACTGGTACAGTATTTCGTAATTATAAAATAATTATTATGAGCTATAGTTGAGTGGAGGACATGATGGTCGATAATTTTGGGACAATCGAGGTCAAAAGTGTCCTTTCCTCAGGTCAATGAAGCAATTTTACTAACACGAATAATGGTTGCAACCAAGAATCTTCTTTCAGTTGCATGGAATTTAAACAGAGGGGATATTGAGGAGACTATCCAATTGTTAGAAAAGAAAATCGCGAAATTATATTACAATTATTGTTCAATTCTTGGATGAGGTTCACGGAGCAAAAGTAATTCAAGCCCGAAATATTATCCACCATTGGCAGCAGTTGGAACAAGTTCTTCATGAACTACGACAAGAAAAAATCTTTAATCATTATTTGAATGTGAAACTTACGCAAAACTACGTAAAAGTCACAGATGCAAGAAAAATTGCAGCAAGTGAATTTGGCTTTAGAAGTAATCTACTGAGAATGTTGTGGGAACGGGGCAATATGGTGAAATTGTGAATAGGCTCAAGCTAGTGCTTTAAGGTTCTGCTGTCAAAAGTGAGGCATTTTTAAGAGGTCCATCGTAAAATTTGTTACGGTTACCAATGGAAAATTGAGGGGTGGCACTGCACGTGAAATCCAGTTTCTATTTATGCATTGTCTTTCGTTTGAGGGACATTTCTGAACAATGATCCTTTGTTGCAAAGTAACAAGAAACATCATTCTAACGAAAAAGCCAACTTCGACTTTGATTTTTTTAAGTAGGGTGATCCAGTCATGTGCAAAGAAAATGAGTACAAGTATATGTAGATGCATAAACAAAAGTCACTTATTAGTAAATGTATCGTGGACAAACACGGCGACAAATTTTTTGCTTTTGCAAACTCACCATGAATCATCTCTTGTGTTTGAGAGCCAGAGCATTATTGCTAAAATGGAATCAAAATGACAAATGAACTGGTAAGTAATTCAGTTTCCAGACAATAGCAAAGTCTCTAATGCTAGAGAAGCCGACAGCACAAGAAACAAATACAAAACATACAACAATAAAATTGAAAGACAAACAGTGGAACAAAACTTAGGCCATGCATAGACAAAAAGTGGAGCAGTGGGGGCCTGCAGAGGGTAACTTCCAAATCTCCAATTTTTATTATTTATTTCAATCTGATGCGAAATTTAATCTGAGAACTAGTGTTTTGGGAAATGGGAAGAAACGTTGACAAGCGTACCTTTTTGCTTTTGACTGCTTTGGCGTCCTTAGTTTTTGGAATTTCAGATTTTCTCATTCCACCGTAACCAAAATTCATTGGCATATTTCCATAGCCACTAAACTATTAACAGATAAAAAGGAAAAAAATAAAAATAAAAACTAAAGATAACAAAACATTTGACAAAGTTTTGATATAGTAGAATATTGTTAGTTTAATTAGAAAAAGAAAAAATTACGAAATTCGAATCAATTAAGATATCTGCATACTTTCGACTGCCTAAAGTGGCAAGGCCGTTATCAGGCAGTTAGGTTATCTCACACACGACAAGGCTGTTAAAGGCGACAGGCTTGCTTTGTTTCTGAAGCCCTAAAGCTTAGGAACTCCTAGTGTTTCACATTCACTAGTACATATTTCAGGAGGGAAAATAATAGTGTATAAAATAAATTATTTGAGTCAAAAATTCATTTCAAGATTCGGTGCGTCCATTATGATTAAGTGATTAAGTTTAGTTGACTTGTCATATTGCAACTTAAATCGCAACATGAAGTCGAATTATGTGACAGCCATTCTGCAGTCACTTCGTTTTCAACGACCATGTCATTACATACCATGTTATTTGTACCCAAAGTATCACGATTTACTACATCAAGTTTTTGTTGATTGTCGTCAGTTAGTTTGTTAGTATAGTCTGATACGGCAGGAACTGCAGCCTAGAATGAATACCTACTGTCACACTGATTCTTGCCAAAGGGATTTTTCATTAAAGGCAGTCTGTCCCCATTATTCTCAGAAACGCTTTTCATGGCCATAATATTCACGCAGCGTTGGTTTTTTGCACAAATAACCAATCAGAAGAAGAAACCACCATAGTGTACTCTCCCTAAGCGAGTTATTGTGAAATTTTTTCTGGTGTTAAACTTTTAAGTCGGTTTCGATGACATAAAGATTATGCATTTTCTGTCATGTTCACCAACAATAATTCATGTCAGATGCTAAAAAGGCAGAGGAGGAGGCTTTCAAGTTTTAAGGCGAGGCTTTCAAGTTATGATTAGCCAATCACGGATGGGACAGACTGCCTTTAATCTTCAAACGGGGAAAGTAATGGTAAGTTTGAAACATGTACTTGGTTATGCACCACTACTTTCTGTCATGCTAGTAAGGGTAAATATCAAGCACCTTACAGAAATGAGAACTTCATTTCTGTAAATGAAATAGCAAGCATTTTTCCATTTGAAAAAATGTTTTTATTTCAGTAAGCCACCCACAAATTTCAGTACAGTTTTACATCCGTTAGACATTTTTTTGGATGATGGTCTGCCAAAGATTTCAGCTATTTCTATACAAAACAAGCAAAATGCCTTTGAATGACTGGATTGTGACTGATTGTGATTGAATGACTGATAAGGTGGTTTTCTAATATCACTAGGACTAGCTCCTCTGTGCTTGGTATCAGATTGATAATTTCCCTATAATTAGTAGCAACCAAAAAGGGATGTTTTGTAATCTCTCACACAGTGTCAATTATCTGGTTGTCTTAAATATCAAGATAAAGGCTCTGGCGCAACCGGCATGCTTTGCAACTTTATTTTCAAAACCGGCCTTATATCGCACTGCATGAAAATACAAAATAGAGTCCCACTTTTTATCGTATAAGAAAAGAGCTCCGCAAAGCATGCCGGTTTCGCCAGAGCCTTTAATTGGCCTTGCATGTAAAAGCAGTCAGATGAATAAGAAATAGATTGATAAGTAAACTTTGATAAATAGCATATGGTGAACTTACTGGTGATCTAAACATTGAGCCTGAAGGGTCTGGGACAGGTTGCGGTTGTTCCATTTCTGGTGCCATTTGCCTTGCAATTCCTGGAACAGATTGGGTTTCACTTTTATGTGTAAGAAATGGAGGAGTTGTCTCTATGCCATGGCTTAGTGGAAGATGCTTGACAGCCTAGTCAAAGCAGGCAACCTCTCTTTATCGTTTTAAGAAAACTATTTAGAGAAATACTGATTTTCCGTTTGTTTTTCATTGTAATTTTGAACTACATTCTTCATAAAGTTTTAAATATTGTAAAAAATGTTTTAAAGTTTATTTAATTAAAAGCTGTTTCTTTTTTAAATTATATTGTAATTAATGCTTTTAAATCGAAGGGCCCCTTGAAAGACAACTTGTTGAGGGACAACCCTCCTTAAAGAATTAGATACAAAAAATGTATATAAATATACTAGGCCTATATAAAAGTTCAAAGAACGAAAGTACAAGGTCAAGACTGCATTAGGAAGTACCTTGTCGTCCGAAGCTGCCGCCTAGGCCGCCAATTGCGCCATAACCACCCAGTCCTCCTTCTCCTCCAAGGCCATATCCGTGTCCGCCTTCAAGACCACCCAAATGGCCTCCAAAACCGTGGCCTTCTAAGCCACCGTGTCCACCTTCATAACCGCCTAATCCTCCAATGGCGCCATGTCCACCTTCAAAACCTCCAAAACCTCCGACGCCGCCATGTCCACCTTCATATCCGCCTAAGCCTCCAGCGGCAGCAAATCCTCCGTGGCTGCCAAAACCGCCCTCGCCTAATCCGTATCCTTCATGACCGCCAAATCCGCCTTCATGACCACCGATAGCAAGTCCTCCAAATCCATGGCCAGCATAGCCGTGCTCTCCTAGGCCGCCGAGGCCATATGCACTATGCATTCCACCGAATCCATGTCCGTAGCCACCATGGGACACTGCAGCAAATGGTGAAAATCCATAGCCACCAAGCCCAAGGCCATGACCGCCATATCCACGAGAGTGATCAAGCACGTACCCACCGTGATGACCGTATCCTTCATCACCGTAGCCTTCACCACCATGGCCAGCATAACCACCCAATCCACCGCCAATGCCGCCAATGCCGCCAATGCCGCCAAAGCCTCCATGGAGACCACCGCCATATCCTCCATAACCGCCATGTCCTTCATATCCACCTAAGTGTCCACCATAAAGTCCTGCAAGAAAGGAGAAGGAATCTAAAAATTCATATGACGCCTCTCTATAAAATATTTCCTTAAAACCCCCATACCTGCATTGGGATTAATGACATAGCGATATAACAGTCAGCTAGTATATAGTGTCAGAATTGTGATCATAACAACCAAACGTTCTGAATATAACAATCATATACTTTGATCGTATAGTATCAAGAAGATGTAAAACTAATTAACAACAACCAGCCAATAATAGAAAATAAAAGGAAATCATTAAAAGGCTTGAAATTATCCCTTAAGATACTGAAATGACTGCCAAGCGCCTTTTCAGATTAGTTTAAAGATTTTCTATGTCTAATAGAAGCAGCGTCTGTTACAATTTCCTTTTAGGTGATTATGACAAGATATTAGCAATACATTTTGTAGATATACCATTATAAAGAAAAGCATACCTCCATGTGCAAAGCCTCCGAATCCACGGCCATACCCATGACCACCATAGGGGCTTGCCAAGAATTGTCTTTTGGTCTCCTTTGCTCCTTTTTCATTTGTCTTTGGCTTGGTTGCTTTGGCATCCTTGGTCTCTTCAGCTGATCGTCTTGTGTGATGAGCTGTTTGAGGAGAGAGCAACAGTCAATGCTGGTCTCGTATTGCAACTAAGCAAGTAAGCATTAGCAAAATTACTTGTGATTTGACATCAATACTTTGAAAACATTTTGCTTAATCAATACCTTGTTCCAATAGAAGCAGATCGCTTTAAAGTGACTTGTTTTAGAGGAAAGATCTAATTGCTATGGCAAGGCCAACACAACCGGGATAGTACAAGAAGTCCTGTTTGTTTTCTGATTGGTGCTGTTTTGTATTACCCTATTCTTATGAAATGTCAAAAGCAAAAGAAGAACAGAAGGAAATTACACTTCTTCTTCTTGTTGCTCTTCTTTGGCTTTTTTGGTGTGTTTGATTTGCTCCAGGCATATGGTCCACCATATTGAAGTCCATAGTTGGAAGAGGGCCAGATATGTCTGTAAATTATAAACCATAGCTTAGAAAATTTTAATTGTACAAGGAGAAATAACACAAAATTCTTTAGAAATGGCATACGAGAAAAAATTGGATTTTTTGAATTGTATGATGATCATAATGAACTTCGATCTCGGAGATTCATTCAGATGCAAAGATGTGTACTATCAGCCATGCAAATAGTTTGAATGATAATTTGACAGAATGCTCTCAACTTACCCAGCACCGAGTGGATATCTATCAGCAGCTGGGACAGGGTACCTAAAAACATAAAATTCCTCCATTAAAAACTATTTCCGAAGAGCAAAATTACAAAATCCTGCAGCATTGTCTCTTTGCGTTAGAGAAATCTAGATTCATGTATGAAAAAATTTTGTACGAATAGAGTTCTTGGCACAAAGTAGGGCTAATTTGAATGAAGCTAATCCTTAGGTAACGTGGAACATCTAATGGTTCCTTTAAGAGCATCAAAGGAAATTATAAACCAAAGTCCTAAAAATGATTTACACCTCCGCATCAACACTGTAAATGTAATGCATTGACATTGAATTGGACATTTCTCCACTTGGCCAGTAGAAGATTTTGTAAAACCCTATAACAATCCTACGAAAAGGAAATAATTGAACAAATATGATAAAATTTACTTCATTAACACCATAACGTTTGTATTCCAGTTATGCTTTGTGTAAAAATTATCAAGTAAAAACGTGCCTGATTGGAGGAACACCAGCAGGTTCTGAAACAACAGGGGTGTAAGCAGGTGTGATCTGTCTCTTTTCTGTGTTTTCATCGCTCTTCAATGCATTCAACTTTGCCCCAGTCTTCTCCAACGATGCAGAGACCTCATGAACAAGCTTTCGAATTTCACTGAGCTTCTAAAGTCAAAAACAGAACAGATTTGATAGCAGTGTGTTAGATAGCTTCGCAATGATTATTCAGAGACTGGTGCGGTAAAAAAGCATAATGTCACGTTTTCGGCATCCATTATGTGCGTACGTCCAAAAGCTCTGATTCCCTGACCCCTTGCGCATGCATCGTCGTTATTGCGTGTGACAGTTTGGTAGACCCAATCAGAGACCGTGGAGGTAGGGGGCTGAGACATGAGGATGCGCTAAAACCATACAATGAAACATCTTGCTTTCAGCTTTAGCATGTTGCCCCCCCTCCCCCTCCAAATACATATCAGCCTCTTCAGTCCATATTATGCTCTGCGCTCCCTGGAATCTACCCTCCCCAATCCGAGCTTGCGTACTTTATAGATGCACCGGACTCGCTAAAGTATTGTGTAGTTAAGAAAGTCCAGGTCGTTAGCCATTGATATTAGGTGTTAGTATTTGAAGTAGAGAATGGCGATGAAACAGGCACGCCGATTGATTCCTATCATGCAATTTTGCATCAAAGGATTTAATTTTCTTTCTTTTCCTTAGGCAATACACCTCACCAAGCTTTCATATCTTTAGCTCACTTGTCTAAAATTTTGCCAGTCTATGTTCTATCTTGATCTTTGGCTAGCTAGTCTACAATTCTGCCAATAGGGCCTTAAATATCGACTTACATTAGCTGAAACTTGGACTGGTTTCTTAGCTACGAGGCCATGTTTCATAGAGTCAACCTCGACTTCAACATTTGGTGCTGCAACATGCACGTGAACATTTTTTGGCTTTGTAAGCAGCATTGAATCCCGTTCACTATCGTCACTCACAACTGGTAAATTAGCCTGATTGGGGGTTTCGGCCATAGTTGGTTGCATTTCCAAAACTGGGCGAGTATTCAATAATGGCTGTGGTTCGGCGTTAGGTAACACAGGTAACGAGTGTAAGCGTTCAATGGGGTTGTTTAGTAAGTTAGCAGCGTCTTCGTTAGCAAGTGGTAACTTTAAAAGAAGATAGACAAACATGAGACAGGACAGACATGAAAACAGCTTGATTTTTAGGTTATTAGGTTAATAGGTTAAACAGTTTGACAGCAATAGATACAATGATATTGAAGATTCTCATAAGCAAATGAGTATAAAGTTGATAGCAGTTCACAACAGGTTAAAGCAGTAAATGTTTAGTTTTGCTAACTATTTCTACTACGTTGTAAATCAAGCTTCGTGCATGAAAGACAAGCTTTGCAAGTAAAAGAAATTAGAAATATCTCTAGTAGAGATTCTTGAGGATGCTCCGTTCAAGCCTGTAGATCTTAATCTAAGTCTTGCTAGGTTTAATATTAGAGTAATATTCGTTCTGTGACTTTTATCTGTGGTTTTAGTTATCACAATGAAAACTTACTTGTCCTGGGACGGCTTCTTCAGTTGGTATATCATAGGCAATGTCTTGCTTCTTATCTGTTGATGCAAAATAAGATCTCACATGTTTAAATGTACTACCACAAAGTTACTGCACTACAACACTTCAACTAAACAAACAAAATAATTAGTAAATATAGAAGACAAGGCATCTTGGTCATGAAAAAATACTGAAAAAGTTACTAGACTTTGTCTACAATATTTTAACAAAGGATAATGTCGCTGCCAACTGGGTAATCACTGCCTTTCGGGTATCAGGTTAGGCTACACTTTGCAAAAACATTAGTATGCGTGAATGGCTTCCATAGACTGCAAGTAGGCCAAGATTGGTTCATTGCGGATCTTCAGTGTATAGTACAGGGCGCGCGCAACCTGGAGCATGCCTTGAAATGAATACAGTATAGATTAGCATATGGATGCTGCATTTGAACTGTTTTGATCATGTACTTGCGCAAGCTTTAGCGGAAAAATAAAAGCACTTTAAATTCACTCCATCTTAACCTGATAATGACAATGGTCGCATTTCAAGCTAGCTTAAGGTTATCAGAGATTAAAACATCCTTTCCTCCCCTAAAAGCAGGAAGCCTCCTTCAATAATGCACAAGCTTCGGTAAATTTTTTGAGTTCATATCGAGTATTTTACCCCTAAGAGGGTTATATTTTCTCGACTTTGAACGTACGAAGTGACAATTTGGGGGCCGACAGGGGGGCATGTTTAAATTATTACCTGCAGGGACCTCTGCTCTTCGGTGCCCACCGGCTCCTCCGAAACCGCCATAACCACCTCCATAGCCCCAGCCATGGTCATTTGCTATTGGGGATTCCCCATCCCATCCGTGTCCGAATCCACCATGTCCTGAGTATTCACCGGGAATTCCAGAAACTCCAGATGACATATGGGGAACACCTGGATGGCCCAGGCCCATACCTCCAACATTGTCAGCAAATTCAGTGCTAGCACCCAATGAGCCAATCAGCTGTCTTTGGTTGTTCACGTCAATCATGGATTGTTCTTCTGGCATGGCGATGTCCTGTCGTGTTGCTGCATTCTCGGTGGTTTCTATGATCAAGGAGTGCCAAGTAGCATTTTCACTTTAGACCACGTGTACATGGACAGGAATAAATGAACCAAGGTACCAAGGACAGGAATAAGAAATCGGCTTGAGACTGGTGCTTAATGGGATTGCTTGTAATGTGGTGAATGATAAGTAACCAAAGTTTTAAAGGGAATTTAAATGGGCTTATTCCAAAAAATTTAAAACCTTAAGCTTTCTGACAAGCTATGTCGTGGCATGTCTTTATGATCACTTCCACCTCTGGAGGGGTGGGGAACAGTGCTAGGAAGGGAGGGCAAGGGTAAAATGATTAGGAGCAGCTTCTTCAGTATTAACTGTTTTCCGTATTAGGATAAAGATCATACAACAAGCTTGGCCTACTTGCAATCACGATGTTTATAAACTTGTAAGAAATGCTTAAAATACATACTAAGGCCACTAAACCCATTTTGCAAGAAAGGTAAGAATGGGTGTGATAGAAGTTTGACATGTTTATGCATTGCGCTTCCAACAGTTTGTTGTGCGCTCTGAGTATTTTAAATGTTGATCATCTCTGGAAACTGGGCCTACAGCATTCTGCGGATTGTTTCTTATAAAATGAGTCCATTTGGCAAAAAGATAGTCAATAAAGGCTAGCAAAAGCTTCAAAAGCTGTAAAAACAATGAAATACAGAAGCAGTCAGCGTTTTCTGTATGCTTGTGGCAAGATTTGTCGTGACATGCCCCTTGAATTTAATTGTCAATGATAATATCTTTTAACCATTTAAAGCAGGACCAGATCCTTATAATGGTCATGTGGAAGTAACGATTAATCGTCACTGAAGCTACGGTTACACACAATATTTCAAAGAAACTGGAGTCACTATCTTTAAACAGTGATTGGCAGACACACAAACATACAAGGAAGCTTGATCACGCACTTGTATAAAGACATGGACAACAGCTGGCCTAAGGGCACATGCCACCAAGGGAAGTTGCTTTTCGATTTAAGTTATATAGGGCGGTAAACTCTATTTCTAATACTTATATATTCAGAAGTAATTTTTATAGGGTGTTGCATCGTAAACAGACTCTTCAGATCAGGGTCCGTCAAAATTCAAAGAGTGATCAAAGTTAAAAGATGGCCTGTTCTAGTACTCTCCACATGTTAAAAAAGAAGTCAAGTTTAAGCCATCAAGCGAACCTCGGTTGCATGTATCCAAAGGACGTCTATAAATCTTTTTGCACTAAACTGACACTGGAAACGAGACAAAGGCACTATCAAATCTTACCTCACAGACACTAAGAGGGTGACACTGACTTCAAAGAGGACTTGCTTGAAAAGTTTTCTTGCGTACATTGCTACCATCTAACTATATCTAGATTTAGTAGAAAATTACTTTGCAGGATCATTGAAAATTGAGAAATGTTTACTTGTTTTCATCAGTGTTTTTAAAACTGTTCTTTCTTAAATTGAGGGATTGATTTCCCTGTATTGAAAACATGTAAAAACTGCAACATGAAGAAAGACTAAATGTTTCGAAATCTTCCAAGACGATTTGTGAGCTTTTAGGTGAAGCAAAGACGGTAATAAAAAGACTCTCAAACAACCACAAGTTACACCAATATCAAGACTTTTGTTTCTCTAATTTCACAGTTTGTTTTTGTCGAATATTTTTGTCAGTTGCAGTCGATTTTGCATCTTTCCCCTTCAAGTCAAGTGAGGTAAGATAAAATGATAGGCCCTCACCTTTTTTCCCTTTTCCTGGAACCTTATGTTTTGCATGCCAGTCATTTTCGAAATTAACACCCCATCCAGCACCTGGTCCATATCTATGTGAACCAAAGTCACCCCATCCGTTATTCCAGCCACCTTCAGAGTTACCACCCATCAGAGCTTCCTTTGTGAACCAACCCGGGTTGTAATTAATAGGGCCACCAAATGAACCAAAGTTACCAAAGCCGGCTGGATCAACCACACTGTGATCCCCATATGGCCCCCATCTTTTGCTTATTGATTTATTTGGGATACTGTCACGACTAGACCAAAAACTTGAAAATCCATGCTCACCGCTTGGTGTGAATTCTCGTCTGTAACCGCCAGCGTCGTCTCCAATGTCGGAATTGAGACCGTCACAGTTATCAATGCATCCATGGCCTTCACCGCCATATCCACCATCGAAGCCTCCTTCTCCACCAAAACCACCACCCAATCCACCGCCAAAACCACCGCCAAAACCACCGCCGTGACCACCGCCATGACCACCGCCATTACCACCGCCATGTCCACCGCCGTGGCCATGATCACCAAATCCGCCGGCGATGTTATAACCAGACAGACCTGTATGGATACCGGGAACCCCTGGGAAACCCAATCCGAGGCCACCCATTCCATCTCCAAACAAAGATCCTCCTGCCATGTTGCCAATAACTTGCCTTGCTGCGCATTTACGATCTCCATCGTCGCAAGCAATGTCTTTACTAATTATCTGTCTAGAGCTGGCGATAACTTGCTGTGGTTGGGACACAGCGCTGACTGGTGGAACGAAGTATGCAGTAGGCATAAGAACGTAATCCCTGCACTTAAAAGCCGTTTTTTCCTTCTTTCCTTTCTTTCCTTTCTTTCCTACTTTAGATTTCTTATGTCCTCCGTGCATGTGATGTCCGCATCCCCAACTGTACCCGTAGGCAAAGAAAGGGTAGTCCCGGTTATAGATGTGAGCTGGGCCCCAGTGGTGGCTGTGCCCCCATCCATGTCTAACAGCTGGGTAAGTTAAAATTTGCTTAGCATCTCCTTTCTCTTCCTGTTTCTTTCCTTTCTTCTTCTTGTCCTTACCTGATTCCTTTTCTGCATCTTCTTCATCTTCTGCATCATCGCTTTTTTGTTCACCATCTTCATCGTCATCCTCTTTTTCATCATCACCCTTTTCTATGCTGCTCTTGCTACTAGATTCTCCTGTCTTCTCCTTTTCATTGTCCGATAAGCTCTTTTCTGCATCATCCTTCTTGTCTTTATCCTTCCCTTCTTGATTTTCCGCTTCCTTCTTCTTATCTTCCTCTTCCTTTTTCTTCTTATCCTCCTCTTCCTTCTTTTTCTTATCCTCCTCTTCCTTCTTCTTCTTTTCCGCCTCTTCCTCCTCTTCCTTCTTCTTCTTTTCTGCTTCTTCTTCCTCCTTCTTTTTCTTTTCCGCTTCTTCTTCTTCCTCCTTCTTCTTCTTTTCTGCTTCCTTTTTCTTCTCTTCATCTTTCTTTTCATCATCTGACTTTTCCTTCTTTGCATCGTCTCCATCCTTTAGACCTTCATTTGCACTATCATCACTCCCAGTAAAACTGTTATCCTCAGACTTCTCTTTTGAATCTGTCTTAGTGCTATCATCTTTATCTGAGCTGGATTCTGCTTTAGTGCTATCATCTTTATCTGAGCTGGATTCTGCTTTCGTGCTTTCATCCTTATCTGTGCTCGATTCATCTGACTTTTCGTCAACGGTTGATCTCTCATCAGCATCTTCGTCGTTTTCATCGCTGTCACTATCATCTGACTTATCTTCAGTTGACATAATATTCTCGATTGTGTTCTCGACATTTCTGTCCTCGTCAATGAAATTTTCGTTTGCTAACGGCCTTGCTCGAGACAAACTCGCCACAAATAGCAGAAGTAAGACCGAGGATATACAAAATACCCTCATTTTGAAAGCACAGCCCTATACCACAAAATCTTTCTATTTACAAGACGATAATATAAGGCCAAATTATAGCTATTCAAAGCTTGAAATTTGTTGATAGGCTTTGCATGGAGGATGATCTCAGCTAGCTAAAAAAACTATGAATAATTAAGGCTGGCTATTCGGTCAAGGTCACCCGTGTTCATTTGCTTTGGCACTGATTTTCATGGTGGCAACATTGATAATTCATGTCAGTCAATGAAAGCTGGTGGAAGCGAATCCCTGTACCTTGCTTTTTACAAAGAGCTCAGAACTCTTCGTAAACAGCTCATTCCGGCATAGCAAAACCTGCGAAGCGATTTCAGGTGACAGAGTTGTAATGGCAAACCAACTTTTGTTTCCCCATGGATGTAACTACCATGATTTATGCGGGTAATCCGCGTAAACGTTGGCCCCATTTTTACTGTACCGGATGGATAAACCCATGGCAATTTGCAAAACAGGGCATCTAGCCCATACTACTGTAAACTAACCAAATATACTTTTGTACATCAAGCAGGGAGATAAACATAGATAATGAGCTGTGTTTGGGTAATTAAAAAGCTATGGAAGCAGTTTATGTGTAAATTGTTTATAGCGAATTCATGATAAATCCTATTTGGTATTTACCCATCCTTCTTGAATCATATCTAGGAAAAACGATTTCCTCGATCAAAGGTTACACATACAAAATCTCCGATATCTTTCACAAGCAACTTTCGCAAAAACATTATCTTTTCCAGGTTGTGATATCGTTTTTAAGAGATAAGCCTGAAAGGTTATCCAAAATTTTCTCAATGCATTTCAGATCATTTGCAAGCAATGCCAAGAAATACATTTTGCCGACGCGGAGTGTGTTGTGATATCATTTTCAAAAGACATGTACTGCTGCGGAAATACATTTTGAAAACCCATGAAAGCTCAATTTTTGCCCCTCCTTATATAACAAGTTATATTCAGTCTCTTTGTCTTCAAGATATAAAGCATTTTGGAAGAATAGCGATGGGGAGTTAAGGGGCATTGCTGAAAATGTACACAGCAAAAATGAACGCCTAGTACAGATGATGCCTGACATCATCCTGTGGAACAACTACGCTGGACCTAGACCGAGGCTAGCATAAAAGTGAGGCAGCATTGGTAGTCTGAACCAACTCAATTTTCGCATAACATATTTTGAACTCGTTTACTGAGAAACTCGCAAATAACTAATTAAAATTCGCTTGGTCTTAGTAAAGCAAATAACCCGACTTGAGGTTTGTGCCACGCAGGCTTTACTTGCCGAGGCACCTGTGCGAGGGTGCCACCAAACCATCTCTACAGTACAACTGAGGTACTTACAGAGCAAATCTGGCGGTAAGAAATGGTAAAACTACCACCGCATGACAAAATGAGCATGCAATAATTCTTTAAAACACTGGTTTTTCATCAAATTTCTAAATGTAAAAGAAAACCTACTGTACTTCACAATTTTACGAAAAAGACACGAAAAACAGTATGCGGTAATCTTGTTTCATCTTGCACCTTGAAAGTACTAAAGATTAAAATGAAGAAAATTTACATCTGTTATGGTGTTAACAAGACTACAAAGCGCTCACAAGGTTTGTTGTTAGAAAAGTGGAGTGGTGTGGGAGGGAGTAGATTCAGATAAGGGGTTAAAACACAGAATGCAACATCCGAATCTTTCTTTGTCTCGGCTTGCAGTCTCATCACAGGACTCCACGTGATAAACATACTAATATGTTATACAACATCAAAATGTCCCAGAGTTGGTAATGACGAAATGCTCCGTATTTAATAGTGTTTTAACGTGTGGAAAGAGCAATCACATAAATACAAAAAAATACTATTTTTAGCTGTGGAACGAACTAGAGTAAATCTTCCGGAGACCTATTCTGAATCATTTGAACACCTTCAAGTACATAAAGCTAAGCAGGGGTCTATATCAAAGAATACTTTGTGTATCAATGATTCGTTTTTTCTACGTAGCACTGATCAGTCACAGCACTTTAAAGTTGTAATAACACTGATAAAAGAAAGAGATACAACACAAGTAGAGCAAGGTTTCCTATCCAATGGTAGTGAACATGGAAAAGTTGCTGGTTTTTGCCTTTGATAACCATGATCGGTCAAAGTAAGAGTGTAGAATGTGACACCAGTCAACAGTTTGATCTTTTGATTGTAACCAGCATAGATCAAGCCAGGTTTCAGGGGGTACACCAAAATGGAAATCCGCTCCTCCAATATCAATGCAATTTTCATTTTGTCTTTAATTTGGTATCTAATATTTAAAAACAGGGAATACAAAGCTTTGATATAAACGAAAACATTGGAATGCGAAACCGTATGCTCGTTTTCTTCTCGGTTTATTATACAATGCTGCATTATGGATATGTTGAACGTTTCATTAGTATGTCGAATATATTATCATAATTAATCAAGTCATCAATTTGTCGATCCATCTGATGAAGGTAATGCTGCACCCCCTGACTAATCTGATCGCAAGCATAGTCCTCCTGGTAAATTATTCAGGTGAAAGCGACTTTCAACAACCTTTCATTCACTTATGCTACCATATACAGAAACGCAATCTAAAATAACAAATTAAAAAATCAGCCATGAAGATATATTTGGCGATTATTTTAATAGTTTTTACGATATCTTTTACTAAAACCGAAGAGCTGCCGAAGACTTCATCGGGTGAAACCAGCGATGCAGTTGCAAAGTCTTCGGTGACGAAAAAACCAGCGAAAGATGACGGAAAGAAAATCGATTCAGAGACAAAGGAACAACTAGAAGAAAGCTCCAATGACGATAAGGAGCTAGAAAAGCAAGAAAAGGTTAAAGCGAATGACCAGTCGGAAAATGTGGCCGAGGACGACTCTCAAGATAGCGACGAAGGGTCGACGGAGGAAAACGTTGATGACAACGACAATGAAGCCGACAGTGATGATGCACCAGAGGAAGACCAATCAACGATAAAACGAGGAGAAGCATCAAAGGGCGGCAAGGACAAGAAGAAGAGTAAGAAATACCTGGCGTACCCCATGTTTTACCCGGGGGATTACTTTGGTGGATACGGACACAATGTTGGTGGCCCCTTGGGGTTCCATCCAGGCTCAGTTTGGGAGTATCCCTATCCATATGTTCACCCCATGTATCCATCACCGTTCTATCCTTGCCAGTGTAAATGTAAGGGTAAGTACTTGAACGCAGTTGGTTTTCTTTCAAAAAAAGCTATATTGCTATTCAAACCCATCAAATTGGTTATGTTTTGTTAAGCATGTGAGAAAACATGTACAATAATCATGAATTGAGTTCTTTTCATTGATTTCATCAACTTCTTTGAATATTTCAGACTTACGAACTTGCTCCTTTATTACATTAATGAGAAGTACAAAAAATCATGCCTTACAAAATTAGGATATGGTTAGCGATTTCAAAGCTAAAGAATTTGTTTTTACAACCAAACTTAAGCAGTTAGACAACAAATTATGCATAGATGTAGAATTTTACAAATTTTGTAGCTCGTAGCACACCATTAAAAATTTGGCCATTTTTTTCACAGATGACAAAGAGAAAGAAGAAGACAAGAAAGAAAAGGATAAGAAAACACGAAGGAAACAACTGGTTCCAAGTCACTATTATGGTCCACCAAGCGCCGGATGGGGGGCATACCAGCCTGGTCACACAGGAGGCGGATGGGGAGCACCATACTGGTACAAGTAAGTTGTCAAACCCTGGAGCACATAACAGAACTAACAACAAAAGAAACTCATTCATCTTGAAAAATCCTAAACAAAATAAATATTATTTGTGTTAATACCTAACTTGATCTAAATAAGCAGCCCTTATTCGTCAAAAATTTTCATTTGAGAAAAGCACACTTTCCACTGCGCAAATAACGCTTTCTTTCCCTGCCCATCAAAATGTAGATGAATAAGGGCAACTTTAAACAACCAAACTTAGAAATCAATGAAATAGTACAGAAAATTGATTTCAAATGGACTCTTTTTTGGGTTTAGTAAGTTTATTTTACTCTGAAGTGCCGCGTTTTCAAAGACAAGTCGGAAATTCACTTCAGCCAATCGAATTCAAATGCATGGAATTTTTGATGTCTAAGGCTGCTTAAACGCTTGTAACAATTAAAATTGAACATAATATGGTAAAGATACGCAAACTCTAACATCTTTGTGATTAGAAACTAATGCTAACAATTAAAATTAAACAAAGAAGAAAGCAGCGTTTTCCTGTTTACTAACTCTTTAACCTGCTTATTCCTAACCAATTAAGCACTGAAACTAACAAGAAATCTTCATCTTGTATGAGTAACGCAACAAAACTCAAAAGTTCCATTTGAAATCATTTTGACTGTGATTTGTCAGTAACTGATTCACTAACAGATAATTTACAACAAGCCAAAAGTTGGAGCAGGGGGCAGTTTGGAAGGTGAAGGAGGGTTTAAGATGTACTTTTGTGAAACAGCATGGTATTGAGCCAAGAGTGTGGATCTATGGGGGTTTAGGGGTTCAACCCATCTATGTCAAAATGCAGCCAATTTTTAATTCTTGACATTGCATTTTGCGAAGTTTTTGAAAGAACACCTAAACAGTAAACTCCCGGTAACTCCAACCTCCAAGGGACCAGTGACATAGTTCGAGATAGCGGTTGTTCGAGTTTACTGTGGGAGGAGGAGGGAATATATGAAAGTATTTGGCAAGGGGAACGCAATATCAGTTTGACTTAGAAAATGTTCGAGCTGTCGGGGTTTGAGTTATGGGGAATTTAGGTTTCTCAAAAAAAGTACATTCATATTTTTAAGATTGCCAAACATGAAATTCAGAAATGAAGGACTGAAAATGCAACAATAGTGCATTGTACGCAAAGATGTACACAATTCTTACCTTTTCTGACAGTACTTTGGTTTGATATTTCATGAGCTAAAGTTTTGAAGAATTTTGTCCTTTCAAGAATCAAACACCGAAGTAACTGTAAAATCAAAATTAAAATGTGAGAGGTTATTGGTTGTTGATTGGCCATGAACAAGTAAAGGCGCCATTTTTAGCCTCGTTCCATTCGAACTGATATTAAATTCAGAACAAAAAACTCAACAACTGTTGATCAGAGAATATGTAGTGAAATTCTGCTTTGAATGGCATTTATAGTTTTGGAAAAAAATTACGGTCATTTAAAGGTACTTTTTCTCTGAGGATGCTATTGGCTGTAACATCTGCAACGAAATCTTGAATTTTATTCCAGAGAAAAGAGATTAGGTTGAAAACAATTTGGTTGCATTCCTGTAAATTTTTGAAACTTAAGGGGCCCAGGTACAGCGTAGCGATTGGGCTAGCAGGAGCTATAGCCCCCCACATTTTTCAATAATAGGTTTGAAAAATTTTTGGTCCCAAAAGTTTACTGAAACGCAACTCTGGAAAGTTTACTCTAGCAAATCTTAAGAAGTAGCAGTTCTTCTTGACTGGGAACCCTATTCTGTCTATCTCCTTGGTGTTGTCTCTTATTCAATGAATAAGTTATAAATACATTTTCTAACTTATCTAACTTCTAACTTGGTAATTTTGATGTTTAATGAGCAAATTATATCTCTTTTCATAATAATTGAAATTTACTCTTTATTTAAAATTTGCATTATTAAGTTTTTTAGTGTGGTTATTATCCTTTCACTAACCGTAGTAAACCAATTAACTTCACAAAAAATGCAAAAGTGTGAAAAAACATAACCAAGAAGCAATTTTGAAATTAACAAAACAATTGGAAATCTGAAATCTTCATCCTAGATATTATCCATGTGTGAAAGGTTCTTTTCAAATTTGTAACTCTTATTTCTTCAAAATCAAGATATTTAAATGTGGTAATTTTTCCTAGTTCTATAAAAACAAAATAATGCTAAACTGAGCATCAAACTACAACTTGAGTTATTTGTTTGGGAAGAGATAAACATATATTGAGTTACATACAAAAAGCTGTTGCGATTTGCGACAATGCATTGTTCTAATGTTGTTATTTTGAACGACCTCGTGGTATTTATATGGTTTCTGAAAAATAAATGGAAGAATGGTCTTTTGTTGACGTATTTGTAGATTGAAGAATGGAGGGGCTAAGATGAAAAAGGTCAGAATTTTTAAAAGGGGGTGCGTTTGAGCAGATGCAATAATTCTTTCTTGAAGAAGGGACAAAGTCTTTGGAAGATAAAGGATGGGAAATCTAATGATAATAGAACAGCATTTGTGAAAAAGCACTGAGTGAAAGTGCGGTTGGGTGACGCGACCAGGGCTGGACGCGAACAAAATTCGCAACCAATAAAATGCCTGAAAAGTTTGGTTTGGATGCCACTATGGTCTTGGAGTGTGGCATGTTCAATTGATTGTACGGCATGTTCTTCAGCTGGCCATTTGCATCTTTTTATAATTCTTCCTTCATGTAGCCTTTTTAATCTTTTTCGACAGATCCTATATCCCAGTAACAAATCAAGCACCCAAACAGCCCATAACGGAAGGTGCCCAGGCACGCCATATCATAGAAGATGGACTAGATTTCGGCTTCGCCAATTCACACGACTCTGCGCAAATTTCATACGGTCATGGTGAAGAGGGAGTGGGACTCGGTGAGACATTTGGTGCTGATTGGCACGATGGCTACACAGATCATCCTGTTTATGGGACATACGGTGCGGCATCTGGTCGCACAACGTACGTCGACCCTGTTTACGGTGATCTTGAAAACGCCGGTCTGAATGGCTGGGGACATGGTGTTGGAAGACCATACTTGTCTCATGGCGAAGAAGGGAATGAGGGTCATGGCTATGCAGAAGCGATTGGTCACCCATATCTGCCATCACAAGAAGGCTTGAACCACGGTCCAGTGCACCATGGGGAAACCTTCTTCGGCCCTCATACCGCAATGCTGCCAACAGCTCAAGGACACGTTCAAGTCGCCAGTGCTGGGCATGCTGTTGGTATGGGTGGGCACAATTTGGGCGGCTTTGCTGACAAGTTCAATCCAGTTCATGGCTCTCAGGGTGATTTTGTTGGTGGTATCCATGCTGACCTTGGCAGCCATGAAATAACGGGGCACCACCACGACCATGCAGCAGCAGGTCACACAAATGCACCACTGTTGCACAAAGGAAGCACTGGATATCTCCATGGTGATCTTGGCGATCATTTTGGATCTGTTCCAGAACATCATGCTAATCATGTTGACCTTGGTATGCAAGACCACTTTGGGCCAATCCTAGAGCATTCAGGTGGTCACGGAGGCTTCGCAGGAGGGCATGGAGGACACGCAGGTGGACATGGAGGCTACGCTGGAGGGCACGACGTATTGCATGGTCACCATGGGGGGCATCATAATATGAATCACAGAATCTTTCATGATTTCAGTGCGCATGCAGGGCATGGAGGAGCTTTCGACGGTCACATTGGCGATAGCATCAGCGCCAGCCATCTCTTTGGAGGAGTGCATAAATCTGGGGTGCCAATCAAACACAAAGGATCGAAGAAATATAAGCCAAAAGCACAGCAGCATAAAAAGAAGGGTAAAAGCCACTAGCAATGTGACATTTTAGTGAAACGGGATAAATTTAAGTTCTAACTGACTGGTGTCTTGAATTTAGCGTGTAATCAGCATAATTAAGTAATTAATCAAAATTTAAAGGGCTTATAAATCAGTGCTGGATAGTGACCCATAATTCCATCCTATGGAAAAAGAATGACCATACAAAAAGGATTGCAAATTTCTTTTGAATATTTGGCCTGTTCGGAGACTCCTATAGTTTGTCTTTCGGAACCAAAGCTTTCATTTTTTGAATAGATATTTGGTGTCTTCAAATCTGCATTTAATCTTTCACGTTGTGTTGCAAAAAGAATTATGTATAGCACGGCGAATAAGAATTGATAAATTTTGACTTTAACTTTTGTATCAGTAGAGGTGTAATTGATAACCAAAGACCTTGAAGATATTTCTGACTCATTTTCTCCGTTCTGGCCTATCTTGCTATACTAGCAGTAAAATATGTAGCTTGCATAGCATACACAAGTGAAGACCAGGGGGCTGGTGCCAAATGAATGTCCTTTCATCAAAATGAATTCCTAAGACTTTTTTCCTGAAAGATCTATCACAAAACACCAGCAAAAGAAAGAAAATGTGTAAATCTGTGATTTTTTGCAAATGCAAATCTCCAAACATTGACATGTTTAACACAACAATGATTAACTAAAGGGCACTTAAAAAAATAAATAATTTTGGTCTTGAGTATGTTTTTTTCCAAATTTTAGGGTTTGATATTATTGGTAGTTCTCCTTTTGCAATTATTAAAAATGAAAGCATTTCAGTCCAAAGCTAACAGATGCCCAATTTTCAACATGCATTGAATTTATCATCACATCAAGCGTATGTTGAAGACAAATTAAAAAAAAACACTTGATACAACACAAAGTCTTGGAAAGACAGTTTCATATAAAAGAACATTGACCAATTTAATTAATAAAATTCAGACTAATTTACCTGTGATATGCATTTTGAGCTGACAAAGTTCTGAAAACTTCACTAAATTAATTTACCAAATAGCAATAGATTAAAACAAACAGCCATCAGAGCAAGATGATACAAGAGAAAATGAATTTGGTTAAAAAGATTGATTGATAATTTTATGAAACAAATACAGATTTCTATGACTATTATTTAGTTTTTTTTGTTAATCTGAAATCTAACACCTGAAATGCTTTGTTGTCCAACCATCTTAAGAAGCAAGGTATCCCCTAAAGAAAAACCAAAAAGTTAAATGTTAGTAAGGGAAACTTTAGACGACAACGAGAATCTAATGTAGTCAGATAGAATTTAAAAAAAGAGACAAAGATTAAATTGAATTCAACTTTATTTTTCTTAAAAATTATTTCTAACTTTGTTGGATTTTTGTTGTTGTGTTGCTTTGTTCCTGACTTTTATTTGTATTATTACTCATTGAAAGATTCACAGAATAGGACTGACAGCACATCCTGTGTTTCTTCCTTCTTACACAAATTATAGCCAGCCTGTTCTAAATATACTGGCTGAAAAAGACTGGAAGGAACACAAAGAAATGATTTTGAAAATGCAGCAAGAAAAACGGACTCCTATAGAGGCATGATGAGAGTGAAACAATATATTACTTATATATACTTTATTTTGTAAAGCTAGAGCCAATCAAACCAGGCCTCAATTTCACACCCAGTAGAACATCACTTATCTTTTGAATGATTGGTATCTCAACTTTCAATATAAGACTGATTGAAACAAATTCTGTTCATATACCCTTGCGTTTTATCAGAAAATGATAACATTGGAAATCTTGAAGATAAGAATATAAATGACAAATAAGCAAAGAGAAGAGTATAACATGGATAATTACTTACGGTAATTTCATTCTCATGAAAACCCTCAATGTAAAGAATGGAACAATAACACATAAGAAACCAAAGAACAGCAACAAGAAACGGTTTAGTCTTGGCAAGCCTTGTCCATTTGCCTTTTCAAGAATAACATAGCCAAGTCCACCAATTGCAAACAAGAAACTTGATGCTAAGCCTTCCATGATATATTGGCCATTTACTCTATATGGCATGAATGCAACCTGATGACAAAGTCAAAGAATTAAGTTATGATTTACATATGATTAGCACTAAAAAGATACTCTAATACAACTAAATCTTTACAAGACTCCTTCTAGTTTAAAGTGGATTTTGGCTATTCATAAACTTAAGAGCTTTGTCAAATGCATTTCTGTATGTGAATGATGTATTGTTTGAAACTTTGACACATACTGCTATGATAAAATGATGTTTAACAAGCAAATAAATCCATTATTAGGCAAAGATTGAAAATGTGAAGGGATTGGATAATGAATGGAAATGAGTTTAAAATTCCAGCCTAGGCATTGCTAAAAGCCAGTCATAAATGGTCTTCAGGACTAAATTGCTAGTAAAAGGAATATTCAAGTTATATTCAAAAACTTACAGGTTTACTGTGGCCATTTTCATCTGTTGTTGATCCAACACTTGGAGGCTCAACAATTACATCATAAATTATACCTAAAGAGTGAAGGTTAGAACAATAATAGCCAACTCAAATGGCATTACCGTAGCTTAATGTAACAAAAGCACAAAGAACACTGACAATAACAGAAAACCTGATTCCTATATTTTGCCTAAAGCAGAAATAGGTAACTCCAATACATTTTATAGTTTGCAAGTCACTAGGCTGACAAGAAACATACTCAATGAGGTCAAAGATGTAATGTGTCTAGGTTCATAAAATCCAGACTGACAACTTTCATGTTTACACAGGCAAGTTGGTTGCTGAATAGTTTTTACACAGTCTGAACTAAATTACAGGAAATTTGAATAGCCAATACAAGGTAATGAGTTCAATGGCCAAAATTCTTGCTGGAGCAATAGCAATGATGGGTTGGCATTGCATCTTGTCACATAATGAATTTATGGCATTCATTAAGCCATTTGAACACTGATAGATTTTTGTATAGATGAAACTACAGACTGTGCTCAGAAGTGTGTGGACAATCTCTGGTAGACACAGGGACAACTTTCCATTCTGGCATAAACTGCATACTAGTTTCCTTGGGTGACGACTTTCTAGGCCTAATGCGATTTTTAAGAGCAATTTTAACAAGAAGAAAGGCGTTCGAGCAACAGTCACTGACTGAAGTCAAAAAATTTATCTATTGAATGTGGTCCTTCTAAAAATATCCTGGACATGGAAATATCTGAAAGGAATATGTACTATTTCATGTTAATTAAAGTTTATTATATTGTATGGCATGTGTCTCCCTTGCAAAGAATTGATAGATAAACACATCACGCACTATTGCGCTTACAGCATTAAAAATAATATAGATAAAAGGCATATAATTAAATCAATTTTCATATTGTCCCTACAAGAAAAGAATGGCATTAGCTATTGATTTTAGTATTTGATTGCACACGCTTGAATACAACTGTCGAACTAAAACCCAAGGCAAAGATTTATTTATTTTCCACCATCACAGGGGCTTGACAGCCGGATCAACTAAACATAAATATTCGATAAATCAAGGCTCACCTCCTGTAACCAAAAAGTATGAAAGTAGGACGATAGAAAAAACTGCCATTGCAGATGGTGCTTTTATCCATGTTGGCTTCCTAAGCTTTAGGTTTGGCAGCTCAAGGACTTGAAACGGCAAACTGTATAGTGCCTCCATCTTGAAAGCAGCACAACAAAGGAAGGAGCACGTAGCAGTCCGCGCATTTCAAGAGACCTGGTACTAGCCTCCTGTTCTTCGAATTTTCGAACTTTTTTACCCCCATTATTCCGATGAATATTTGATTGCATTGCATTTTTTCAAAATCTGATGTTTAAAATCACAGTTTACTGCCTCATTTGATATTTTAGCTCTACGTCAAAATTAGAATTAAACCCTTTCACTGATCGATCTCTAGTTTTCGATTGATCTCTATTCTGTGCTTTTAACCCCTTTTTTTGCTTCCCAGTCAATAATGGGGGGCTGTTATTTTTTGGAAAATCTACACCTTGTCTTTTTCTGTCCCAACTATGTCCCGTCCCGACACGAGCCACGAAATTCCTATTGTAAAACAATACAAAAAATGTGCTGGGCGGTTTTTTTAAAAGAGACTGGGTCTGAGTTACTGATACTACAATCTCATTGGCTGATTCAGAAATGGAACAATCATTTGAATTCTGGAAACTCAACGACTGAAGACACACATTTCGGCCAAGAAGACTCAAGGTCACTACACAGTCAAGAATTCGGACAAAGGTATTGCAATATGTTTATTTTCATTTCGTATTTTCATTAAGTACCATCAGGTTTTTATTCAAGTAAGTTTTGCCATCAAGATGTCATGAATGACCCATGTACCGCGTTTTTGAGGATGACCGATTTTCTTAGGCCAACGACCCTGTATTGGAGCCTCTTCCATTAAATATGATATTAAAACGTCCACATTTGGGAGGTTAGCTTACTTAAAAATTACCCGTATAAAGAATGCAAATATTATTGAGTTTTCTCGCTATATGGCGTAAATTTGAACTCAGTTGGCAAAACGGTCGGGGCATTCTGTCGACACCTTATTTTCATCATTCTTAGAAAGCGATTTTATATTTCTTCTGCGATGATAAATTTGGATAGTTGCATTCGTTTCCCTGTTAACTGTTTCATGACATTTTTAATATTTCTATTTTTCTTCTCCATTTTATCATTCATAGGGGCAAATAGCTGATCATCGAGACTGTACTTTCGCGCCCATTGCAACAAAAACTTGTTTATAGGCCTTTTTTATTGTTAACAGCAGAGCAGATCATTTGTTGTATGTTTAATATGCATTTTCTTCTTTTCTTCTGAAGTCTGAATACAAGGAGAGAATAAAGACTCGAGAACCGTAACAATGTCCTTATCAGATTACGTGAGAATTGAAAAGGTTGGAGAAGGTATGTCGTTGGAAAATTTCAACCTATTTAACGTGTTGTAAATGGACCCTAACTTGAAAATGTCTCAGATCAAGTGACATGGTCTAAAACTTTTGACTATTTTATTTGCCTAAATGGTGTAAAAACATTATACATTCTTAATGCTTTTCTTATAGGTACGTATGGTGTTGTTTATAAGGCAAAGGAAAAAGCAACTAACAAATTGGTAGCTCTAAAGAAAATACGACTCGACAATGAAGATGAGGGAGTCCCAAGTACGGCTGTCAGAGAAATTTCTTTGTTGAAAGAGCTTTCCAAACATCCCAACGTTGTACAGTAAGAAATTTTATTCAAGTCTTTCTAAGACATTCTTACTAAATATAAACTTTAAAAACTTTTTTATCCATATATGCTTGTACCTGTGTAAGCAAATGTGATTTTATTGTTGTCACAAGTATTTTGAGGCACTCAAACTACTTTTTCAAATATAAGGAGAAAGTAACTCATTTATGCACATAAGTTATCAGTTATTTAATGTTATTTCTTTATAAGAAAAACCTCATTTTGATGCTTTCAATATTTATCTGTTAAAGGTACAAATATTTTTTCCAGACTTATTAAAGTCATATTTGATGATTCACGCCTTTACCTCTGCTTTGAATACCTGCTGATGGACTTGAAGAAATATTTTGATACAGTCAAAGGACCAATTGATAAAATGTTAATTAAAGTGAGTGGCATATATATTTATAGCTATATTTATCTGATTTTGTAACTTTGTATTTTTCTTTTCTGCCAAGACTGATGATTGATATCTTTTTCTGATTCACTTAGAATGCTATTTACAGTTATATGACAAAGGTAACATTAGGAGTGGCAGTCCCTCTTGCAACCCTAATTATATAAATTATTGAATAATATGTTTAAGGGTGGAAAATTTTCAAATCATACAGAAGCTCTCTTTAGATAATCAGTCAAGTTGTTTGTATGATTTCAGATGGTCGTAAGTTTAGGTTTCTGAAAGGAGTATGGCAACTGCTTCTTTCAAGCTGCAAATGAAAAATCTTTTTTCCTGAACTGGTCCCTTTGCAAACACCAGGTTTATTTATGTTTTGATTTTGTTTAAAGTTTTTTACCTAAGTAATCAAGTTTTTCTTCAGAAAATTATTAACTGTTTCATTCCAGAGCTACCTGTACCAAATATGTTCTGGTATAGAATATTGCCATGCAAGGAGAATCATTCATAGGGACTTGAAACCACAGAATCTATTAATAGATGAGAATGGCCTCATTAAATTGGCAGATTTTGGCCTTGGGCGTGCAGTTGGTGTTCCCATCAGGGCATACACACATGAAGTGAGTACCTCAAGCAAAATCTAGATATAGTCAACTTCCTATAGTCAAAAGCCTTTGTGGTGAAAGCAGCATTTACTTTGTAAATAGAAAGCTATCATTGTCAAAAATTGTTCTTAACTGATGATGTTCCATAAAAAAACTGTTCAAAGTGTCTATTCATTATTTTAGTTGGTCGAGTTATCAAGCTTTTCACTAAAGAGTCAAAGAACATTTTTTAAAGATTGATTGAGCAACTATCAGCAGTATTTTGACTTGATTTTTACAAAGAAATTAAATTGTAGGTTGTTACATTATGGTATCGTTGCCCAGAAGTATTACTTGGGAGCAAAAGATATGCTTGTGGAATTGACACCTGGAGTATTGGAACCATTTTTGCAGAAATGGTCACTAAAAAGCCCATTTTCCAAGGAGACTCTGAAATTGATGAATTGTTTAAAATTTTCAAGTAAGTGAGGTTTTGATACTTAATTTTTCTATTGTAAGATATAAAATTAGTCTTCTAGTCAAGAAGAAAATCTAAATATATGGGCATTTTTTACTCACTTTTCATAGCAACATAAAACTATGATATTATCCATGTTCCCAGTCTCAATCAATACATTTATATATACAAAGTTGTTAACCTGTCCCTGCAACTTTTTTGACACTTTGACTCAATACAATTCATGCTGTTTGGCAATAGTTGCCATGGATAACAAGATTGCAACAGACTGAAACTGTTTAAAATAATATGCACAGTCTGCTGGATTACATGATAAATTGATAGCCATTCATTTTTCTAGTATTCTAGGTACAGCAACGAATAGTAATTGGGAAGGAGTTGAGTCATTACCAGCTTACAAAAAGGAATTCCCAAAATGGAGTAGAAAGGATCTTTCAAAAGCAGTACCAGGTTTAGAAAGAGCAGGAATTGACTTGTTGGAGGTATGTAGTAAAAGATAAATCATTCATCAAGGTCTTTTATCATGAAACTAACTGAAAATACATAAAAAGAGTGTAGCTTTAATTCAAATCAACTACTTTGTATCTCTGGAGAACAGTAACTTTGTTCTGTGTATAATTGAATAATATAAATGAGCTACTCAAAAACAAAAGTGCCATGGAATGGAAAAAGGCTTGATAAATAGGAGAAAAGCTAACATAAAAGCTACCAGTCCAAATGTAATTTAGCTGGTTGTCTGCTTGTTAACAACTTAACCAAACTCAATTGATACAAAAGTCCTTTGAAAAGAAAGTTTCTAAAACACAAAATTGATCAGGCTCTAATGATGATAACTCTTGTTCCTTTCATCAAATGTAACACAGGGGCCACTAGCATGCTTCACATCTACAATCTGTTTTAATATTTTGCTATTGTCATTGTACAGAAATTCCTTATCTACAATCCACAAGAAAGGATATCAGCAAGAAAGGCTTTGAATCATCCATACTTCTTTGATCTGGACAAGAGTGCACTACCACAGGCTCCTGCAGAAGATGATCTTTAATTTCATCCAAAAAGTGGACATTGATGGAACACCAAAGGAAATGTAAAAAGCTGACTTTGCACATTTGTTGTGCTCTTTTCTTTTTTTGCAACTGATGCTCCTTTTTTACCTTACACCTTTTAACATTCTTTTAAGTAGAATTATTAAAAGGGTTGTGATTTAGGAGTTCACAAGGGACTTCCATTGCATAACCTTGTTGTAAACTGATAATTGGGGGGTTTACTTTAAGCATAATGCCCTTGTCTTCAACAACTATTTCTTTGATTGAGTTGAGAATGAACCACGCTGTGGGGTAGTTTGGCGTCACTGTCTTCATTGAATATTATTTGTTTTCTTTCTCATACTGGAGCAGTGGATTCCAATGAGCTCTTGGTATAGCAAGGTGTATTTTTTTTGTTCCCTCCAAAGATTTTAGTCCTTGATTCCACTGTAAACTGTATCTAATGGAATCATTCCATCATCAGTCATTGTAAATTACTTAATGAATTTTTCCAAGTTTTAATGAACATGTACATATGGTAAGAAAAATAAGTTGCTTAAATCCAATTATACTTTGTGTATTTTTGGAAGTAGTTGTACTTGAAATAGAGTGAAGAGATTTTTTGTTTGAGCTGGTGTGGTTTTTTTATGCTCTTACTATGATGCAATGAGAATTTGGACTAGAAAAAGAGTGAACTTATACTTAAAAGATCAGCCATTTGAATGCATATTCATATTCAAAATGATTTTCTATGATAATAAAAAAAGAATACATTTGCTTTAAGATAAGCATTTAATAAAGCGTGATTTGATAGCAGAGAATTTCTGATAATACATTTTAATTATAGTTCTGAGACTAAATGAAGGAGGGTTGATCAATGAAACTGATTACATAAGTGATGTGATCAGCAGTTAAAAGGGGCTTTAAACATAGATGGGTGTGATAACTTGGGATACATGAAATTTGGGCCAGATGCAGCAGCAAAGGCACCCTGAATTTTACACACTCCCAAGGTTAAGTTTTTATTTCACTTAGCACTATAGTTAGCACAAAATAAAGTAACAAATATAGCAAAGAGCTATTTTTGTTGTGGTTCTAATATACATAAAATGGGTCGGTGGTCAGATAAAAGCCTTTGATTTTCCCTTTTGTCTTTCAAAACTGCGAATAAAATGACATGAAATCCGGTAACGAAAATATGGTCCAAAACCTCCCCCCTTTTTTCATGGAATCCAGTAAACGTCTTTGCCGTGAAGCAATCATCAGCAACTATGCTTGTCTCTTGAAAAATCCGAGTTGACGATAAAAGCTTCAAGCAGGCATCTCCGTTCTCAGCATTAAAATCACCCTTCAAAATGATTGGAAGTTTGTGCTGCAAGATTTTCTCAACAAAGTTTAGAATAACCTTCATTTGTTTCTCACGCACAGTCATATTTTCATGGTCAAGATGAGTGTTCAGTAAATAAAATGCATGCTCCTCCTTCTTGTTTAGCCATGTAAATTTACCCCATGTACATATTCTGCGAATCCTTGCCTCTTCAAAACGACTTCCAGGTTTCTCAGGAGTTGGGCTTAACCAGAAAGTTCCATTTTCAGACAGATTAAAAAGGTCTTTCTTGTAGAAAATAGGATTATATTCTCCTTTTTCTGCACCATCAGTTCTACCAACACCTACAAACTCATATTCAGATAAAGAGTTTTTAATATCAAGAAGTTGATGTTTCAAAGGTTCCTGTAAAGAAAAGATGCTAGGCCGTACCTTTTGTATAAATAGAGAAACTTCTCTCTTTCTATGTTCCCAAGAGTTGGCACCATCTTCTGGGTTATCATATCGCACATTGAAACTCATACAAGAAAAATATGGCTCAAATTTGTTTATTTCATGTGAAAACATCTTTTTTCTTGGTGACTTAAAACTAAAATGATGTCACGCCCTCGTCCCAGGAACGAGGCAGCAGCTACAAAACAATTTTTGTCTATCAAAATCATGTCGTTTTGCGTGCATAACTGCACGAAGTGAACTTTCCGTGTTTTATCATATCAATCTTTTTTTCTATTTCCTTTTGAGTTAGGAACTTGCTACAGAAAGGGCTTTTGTTTTATATACCGGGGGAATGGGTTGCTTCATTCAGGTCTTCTCAATCTGAATGCATTCAGGCCATTCAGCAAGATAGCATTCAGCCATCACGTATACGAAATTTGAGGAAGAATTGCAAATCTTAAAAATCATTTTAACTAAGCTATGAACAACACATATAAACTTGACTGATATTCTTGATTTCATTCTTGGAAAATAAGCTTCTGATCACTTTGTTTGCAAATGTTTATTTGGATAAAAATTAGAAGTGGTTGATATATAATTTCTAGCTCATAATTGTTTGATCATTATTCTCGGACGGTCTTTCTTCGAAGAATTTCAGGCGAAAAGGTTAACAGTATGTTTTGAAAAGTTCAAATAGACTATTTTGGGATAAAGTGTACAGCCATGATATGATACACTCCTTTCTTTTACTAGAACAATTTTATAAGAGCACGGGCCTCAAAATTGGTAAAAAATAAAGAACAAATTAAGAAGAGGCTTAGGCCGAGTTTCTGCAAAATGCAATTTCGAACAACGTTTTTTCTCAAAATCAAGGATTTTTAGCGATGTGTGGGTGCTTTTTTGGTGAATATTCAAATTTGTCAGCAAATTAAGGCTGTCTCACTCACTTTGTTGGCAAATGAGGCCTGAACACCTTCTTAGAGCGAAAAAGTTAGCAATCACACTGCTTACACCCTATTAATTTTTATTACACCCTATTAATAAAACAAATTAAGAACAACCCAGCCTCAAATTTTGTGAAAAATTTAAGAAAAGTCAGCCTGAATTTAAATTTACTGGTTCTTATAAAAGAGATTCAGGAAGAGCCTTTCTTCGGAAATGTTCTTCAAAGTAAATTAATATGTATTTTTGACAGAAAGATGTATACTAACTTTCTTCTGATCCAACTTTGACTTTTGTATAATAAACTATCATCTGATAATTCACCATTGCTAAAAGTACATTCTCTGTATTGGGGTAAGGGGATAATACCCCTGACTTGACTCCCTCATTACATTGGTATTTTTGCTCAGTTAAAAGACTTTTGGGAAATACCATCCCTTGAGGTTGTTTCATGGTATGACTTTTTCTAAAGAATTATTCTTTAGTTCATTTTGTAAAGCAAATGCCGAATTCCAGGTTTATGGGAATTGCTATGTCCCCCGACAGTTTCTTACCAGGACAATACAGAAATGAATGCAGTATTCGGGTAAAGAACAATGCTCTGATGCTCTTTTGCTCTGATGAAGCCCTGTATGCCGGGGCAAAATATTAGATTTACGTGTTTCATATCTGCTACATAAAGAACAATGCGTGGAGGTGTGCACGTTTGAATGGAGCCCTATTGGAGGAATTGAGTCATGTGACCACATGACGTTTCTTGTACAAATTCACGTTTCGATCAATCACCAAGCGTCAGTTTCATCTGTCGAATATGCTGTAGGAAAAAGAAGCAAGCCTCAAACTTCGTTTTAAAAGCAACTAGACTCTTACAAAATTTTTATTCTTGCTAAGCGAGGTGTCTCAATTAAGCATGCTACGAACAAGTAGAAAACTTCAAGCTCTTGCCCCTTCTCATGTGAGCGCCTTTGGCCTACGACATGGTGCTCGAGTTGTTGGCACTAGGTTGCTGTCAGCAGCAGCTCCAGATGCCGAAGGCGAACCAAGCTTTTTGGAGATGGTGAACCTGTTTGTAGAAAATGCTAGGGAGCTCGCACTTCAAAGGCTCACAACAAAGCCACCGCCACCTGGCAGGCGTCAAGACCCACCCGATCAAAAACGAGCATTTGTTAAAGGTATTTATTTGCTGCAACACTTAAACGGTCAAGTATGTTGCTACGGGAGTATGTTTGAAGTGAACTGAAGTCTTTCATATTTTTACTTAACCTAGTTTGACCAACAAAAACTTATACTTATTATAGATTCCTTGAGCAACACTGCGGTTTATTGAGTCTCCATTTCACCGTGACCCTGCATTGCACAATTGTCATGATCCTTGCCAGTGCAATAAGCTTTTTGATAGGCACCTAGCATGTACTTCTTGCTGAGATAATTCTATTATTTAAAAATTCTATCATCTTAGATATAATACCAATATGAAAGTAACGTAAAGTGAAATTCCTATCCCCTCAAGCAGTAAATTCATAAATCAACCGTTGAGTCTAGTTTTACAAGAACGATGCACGAATAATTAGTTAAGAAAGACAGTTAAATATTTGCTTCGTTTTCGTTTCTGTGTTTATAATGTCAGTTTGTGTTTATATGTTCTTTATTTTGTACATTCAAGGTATTTTGGACATTATTCAGCCATGCAATGCCACAGTAGGCTTAAGCTTTCCACTCAACAAGGACAATGGAGAACTGGAGATCATCAGGGCATACAGATCACAACATAGTCATCACAGGTTGCCCACAAAAGGAGGTAAAGTTTGAGGTGCATTCCATTTCAAGTAGCAAATGGTTGTCAGGGAAATAAGGAACAAAAGAAAATCTGTTATTTGAGATTGAAATGCTTTCATCTTTCTAATTTGAATGTTCAAACTCCCATAAAAACAGTGAAAAATAATCTGCAATGATACAGGAAAGCTGTATATTTTTTAAACTTTAGTGGCTAAGATTTGTTTTCTCACATGCAAAATAACTTCATACAGTAATATTGTCTTAACTACAATGGTTTAATGCTACCCTACAGCCTATAACTAATTTCATACATGTAACCAGTTTAGCAATGCACACTTGAGTTTGAGATAATTAAGGCAAAATTAACAATAATGATACTAAAAAAGATGTCTTCCATTTGGTAAAAAGGGGTTTTTTATTGGTTGAAGGGCCATTTGCTGACCATATTTATATGTAGTATACTTGTCTCTGTTTTTTCTTCTTTGATACTGAAGAGCTGGAAGCAGGAAAACTATTCATCCTCTCTGTATTTATTTGTTTGTCTATAGACACCTACAGGTAGTAATTCCTAAGAAAATGCATACTCTACACAGCAAACCCTAATGATTTTTAAATATTTTCCTCAGAAAATGTTTTGGAAAGTGCTGTTTTTTTGTAAAAGATTATTTTTCCTAATTTCTCAATCTGTATCAATATTCAGCTCTAAGAAAAAGCCACTTTGAAGACTGTATCCCCTACATTAAGACTTTTAGAAAAAATGGTTATGGATCAAAACTTATAATTTCTAAATTGTTTTAGGTATTAGGTACAGCAGTGATGTGGATGAAGATGAGGTCAAAGCCTTAGCTATGCTGATGACATTCAAATGTGCTGTTGTTGATGTGCCCTTTGGTGGTGCTAAAGGTGGAGTGAAGATTGAGCCATCCAACTACTCAGTAAGTCAATAAACTTCTAGTTCAGAGCTCTCAATTACCTCTCAACCATGCCAAATACCAAGCTTGCATTTCCCTTTCAGCTTTATTTCATTACAACTGATTTCCAACAAGCAAATTATCATTGTGCAATTAAGTGACATTTCAGTGACTTGAGCATTTCTGTAGAGTTTCAACTCGGTTCAGCAAAGTTAATGAAGAATAAATTTTTGTTTGTTTGTCCCACCTGATGATAATTCTAAATTCATTTTCATAACAGGAAAAAGAGCTAGAGAGGATAACTAGAAGATTTACTGTGGAATTGGCAAAAAAGAACTTCATTGGTATGTTGGTGTTATCTCTAGCTTTTTGTGCTGGTCTGTCTTTTGGGCATTTTGTCCTGAAACATTCTTGATTATTTTTGTTCTCTCTTCTTTGGAAAGTAAGCAAAGGTGTTAACTGAGTTTTAATATGTTAAGGACCTGGTGTGGATGTGCCAGCTCCTGACATGGGAACCGGTGAGAAGGAAATGAGCTGGATGGCTGATACATACGCAATGACATTAGGATTTGGGAACATGAATTCACATGCTTGTGTGACAGGCAAACCAATCAGCCAAGGTGGTATTCATGGCAGAATATCAGCTACTGGAAGGGTAATACTTGTTTTCTTTTTAAAAAAATTTAATCATTCATTTTTATGAAATCCAGGATAAAGCTAAGAAGTTACTGGTATCGAGCTCAGATATGCATAGAATGGGCTATTGGACTAATTCAAGTTTTCAGGCTAGAAAGTATTTTGAAAAATAGTTATACTTTATACTCTTTGCCAATTTTTCTAAATTTCATCTGTCATGCAAAATTGCTTCAGTTGTATGTTCCATTAGCTTAAAAATTCTTAATGTCAATCAAAATGAATTTGCAATGTCTAGGAAAGCTTGAAAGTCCTTTTAGGCTTAAGACCAACAACATCATTAGTTTTCTTATGCACTCGAGCCTTCTAATGTTTTGTAAAACATGGAATACTTTTGATATGCACTTAAAATCCAATTCAACTGCCAAGGTGCTGTTTCCAACCTGTGAATTTTGAAGATGCAAAGATCCAGTGCAAATAACCTGCAACCCAAATGTTTATTAATATACCTATGTCAGACACTAAGTGTGAAACCCAAAGTAGGCAAAAGAAACAAGTCCAAGGCCATTAATGATTGTGAGATGAATTGTGTTGATAAGAGGTCAGATTACTGTATAAGAGTAATGTATATATAGAAAAGGACAGATTCCCCACCCCTCTAACATATGGGGCTTCATCAGAGTGAAAATTATTATCATTTTCTTCATCATTATGTGTATTATTTTAGGGAGTGTACCATGGTATTGACAACTTCATTAAAGATGGTGAGTAGCTAAGGCTTTATTTGCTACTATATATAAATAACAAAATTGCCAGATCAGCCCCCTGAGGGTTTAAGGATAAAGAAGCTTCCTATTGTACTACCAATTGAGGGAGACTGTAAAAAATGCATGCTGCTTTGTACATATGTAATTGCCATCAGTTTAATAAAAGCAGTTTAAAGTTAGAATTTTTAATGTACAGACAAACAGCTACTGCCAAATTTTAAACAATTTCAATGTTACATATCAAAGTCCATTACACAGGTCTGTTAGAATTACAACTTCAGAAAACCATCATCGACAATCCCTTGATTTTCCCCCATAACCTTAAAAACACCTTAAAATACTTGCAATGGTGCAAAGTTTGGTAAATCTATTGCAAACTGGCTGATAGATAGTAAATTAAAAATCCGAGTTTTGTCAATGGATTATTGTTGTTTTAAGCTGGTTCATAGATTCAAGAAATAAGACCAAATTACAGGAAATTGATGGGGAAAGAGCCTATGCAGGCCTTGCTCTAAGCAAAATGAAGGTGCTCTATAAAACGAGCCCCTTAGAAACTCTAGGCGCTCTATTTTGCACCTCTAAATAAAATTTTCCTAAAATCATCCTTCAAGAGCTTTGGAAGCAATGTGATAATTTGGGGGGATATGTGATCGCTGATTTTCACAGGTGGTTTTAGGTTATAAAGAGAAAACAGAAAATAATACTTCAGCAGAAGATAAAGGCTTGCTCAAAAATAAAAAAAAATCTGCCAGAGAATACGCTAGATGGCCTGCTGTCCTGTCCTTGGTGGTCATAAGAGGGTTCTTAGATTAGAAATAGTATATATCGAAAATGATTTTTTTTAAGAGGTAATCTTATGCAAATCATAAAATTGCGGTCTGTTGGGAAGATTTTTTATGCATGATCATGTTAATTCAACAAATGTCAAAAATTTATTTTGCTCCATGGTAATATTGTTTTTAAGGTTTTGAGGGGCTCTATAAATTGCTCTCTAGGACTTTTTTGAGTGCGCTCTAGGCGTGTGTGCTTGATTGGGCACCTTTCCGGGCAAGGACTGCCTATGTTGCCAATGTTGCCATATCTTAGTTACTTTGTAGAATTTAACTGCTTTTACACATTTAGAGGTATTTTAATGTGCTTTTTGGCTGTACAATCCAAATTTAAATATATATTCTAAAACTATGCTTTTGTGACATTATTGTTTTGTCAATCTATTGGTTGACTCTCTCCAGGACAATTCTGACAGAATGTCTTAATAATTCTTAGAGCATTACATGAGCCTGGTTGGGCTGGAACCTGGTCTAGCTGGAAAAACATTCATTGTGCAAGGGTTTGGTAATGTAGGCATGCACACAATGAGGTATCTGCATAGGTTTGGCGCAAAGTGCATTGGTGTCATTGAAAAGGATGGCTCACTTTACAATGGGGATGGTATTGACCCTAAAGAGCTTGAAGACCATAAGTTGGTTAGTGTTTTTCATTGATTTTTATGGTTAAAAATTTTAAAGAGTTGTTTTTTTAATACATGAGGTATGTTCTTGATAGCAACTTTTTGTATCTCTATGTTCTTAAAATGTGTAAAAAATGTTTGATTGTATTTTTTATGATATTTCCAGACATTTGGAACTTACATAATTGTTTGCCATTTCTAGGCTACTGGAACAATTTTTGGTTTTCCTGGAGCCAAGGTATGTATCTTAGGGTTGTTTTCAGTTTTTTAACAATTTTTATTTAATAGATATTTATCTAGATTTTTACTATGCATTGCTTATCTTGTAGACTAAGTTGTTAATCATAAATTTCAACCTTGTGTGGTAAGGATTAAGATCAAGTCTTCATTTTTTAGATCACTCAAGAAGATCTGATTACAGCAGAATGTGACATCTTAGTTCCTGCTGCTAGTGAGAAACAAATCACATCAAAGAATGCTCACAAAATACAGGCAAAGGTAAGCTTTGGCCTCCTTCTTTCTTGTCTGCAACTAAGAAAACTAGTTGATGACCCACGTCACTGTCAACTAATTAGTAATAGTGCTTGCTTCCTGTGGTGTAAGCTTGCTAGAATTATACAGAGGAAATTACTCCTTAAAGTTATGGTAGAGTTTGTTTGAATGTTAATCTTAAAGTGGAGCAAATTTATGTGCATTGATTTCAGCCTAATATCTGTCAAGTAAATAATTCTAAAAGTTCAATTAAAATCCATTTGTTCTTGTAGATTATTGCAGAAGGTGCCAATGGACCAACAACCCCAGCTGCAGATAAGATTCTGCAAGAGAGAAAGCGACTTGTTATTCCTGTAGGTGTTTTGCCTAATGTTGCCAAAAAATTCCTTAATTATATCCTGGCTGTGTGGTGTTTATACATGTATAGTTATATATGTCACCACTTTGTTTGTATTAAGCTTTAGTAGGTATAAAATTATCTTTGCGTGCAGCGAAGAGCTGAATTGAGTTTAGGAAGTTATGGTTTAGGAAGACTTTGATCTTTGCTTTTTATCATTCTGAGATTATTTCAATAAAACCTTAAGTTATTGTGTACTGTCAACAGGAAGAAAGCATTGGAGATTTATCTAACCCTACTGTATAGTGCTGTGTCAATTTAGGGTTGTGTAGCACAGAAGGCATTATCAAAAGCTGTATTTTTTGTAATATCATAATTCTTGCTTGTTAGGATTTGTACATTAATGCCGGTGGTGTAACGGTATCATACTTTGAATGGCTGAAAAACCTTAACCATGTCAGCTACGGCAGACTTACATGGAAGTACGAAAAGGACAGTAACTATCATTTGTTAGGTGAGAAAGTTTGTCACTTTTTGTTCACTGCAACTGTTTGAATTCAGAAATATACAATGTAAACATCCTTTTTGGTTAGCTAAGGAATGAGACAATTTTATTGCTTGAAACGTTTTCTAATGGTGATATTCTAGACAGAAGCATTATTTTATGGGTAGATAGCATGAAGGGAAAAAATCAGCACTATAGAATGGCAAAGCCTAAACATATAGAAAATGAAGGAAAGAATTAAGTTAGAGAATAATTGAGAACTTGCAGAAGTTGAAACTAATGGTTTTAAAGTTTGATTTTTCATAATTTTTTATTTATTTAGAGAGTGTCCAGAAGAGCTTGGAAAACCATTTCAAAGGAGAGAAGATCCCAATTAAACCTTCTGAATCGTTCTTATCAAGGATTGCTGTAAGTAGAAAGTTTATGCTTAGAGACTGGAATTTTCTGCTCTTGAGAAAACTTCAAAAGCCTTCAAAAATCTTGAAATTGAAGTTAGAACCGTATCTTGTAAATGTATATTTTTTTGTGTATTTTTTGTTTGTGTTTGATTTCTGTTTGATATTTGAATTCAGGGTGTGTCAGAAAAGGATATTGTTCATTCTGGTCTAGAATACACCATGGAAAGATCAGCAAAGGTGAGTAATGTAGTTTTTTGTATTTGTCAGTTGATGATTTAATTCTAAAAATTGGTAGAAAACTAATTGATGCTTGAGGCATGCAGCATTCTTTTAAAGTGGAACTGACATGAAAAATGAAAAAACTTCATAATATCCATTTATTTCATTTTAGTATAGAGCCGGCAGTGCTGAATCGAATGGTGTAACATTTTCCTGCATATCTTTTCGTTAACATAATTTTTTCAAGCTCCAAAGTACTGGTTTTCGTCAGATTTTGTTCGAATAAAAAAACGCGGCCAAAGAGGAATTTCAGGAATTTGTGACGTATTCTGGTGTGTTCGTGCACCGGCAAGGTCAGTTTATTGCGTACTTTTGAAGGATGGCAGACATCGGGCATAGCAAAAAACAACCTAAATACGGCAAATATTGTTGTGCTGGTGCACTAAACTATACTGGCTGTTTAGGTAACAGTCACATTCCCGAAAATCAGTCGCAGAAGTTTCCGAAAGCTGAAAAAAATAGCGTCGATATTGGGTAAAATTCATGAGAAGACACAGGACCAGTTTCAATCCATTGTCTTCGTCCGACCTATTACCCAAAACACACGTTACGTACAAGAATTATAACAATCCTTTGAACAATCCTACCAAGTTTCGGAAAAAGCCAGCAAGACCCAAAATTCCTTTTTAGTACATTAGTTCTAGCTACTCTACGAAGTTTCAATCGATTTTGAATCGTTTTATGGAAGTAAATATGGGGAAACAAAACAGACATACGAGATAGCTGTTATAAGGCTTAAGTATGGAGCTCGAACGGGGGGCGTTTCAGATATTCTCATCAAACCAGAAAAAAACAAGGGGGAACTAAATGTATTTTATGCACATTAATTTTAGTAACTCTCAAAGTTTCAATTGGTTCGGAACATTTTTACAAGTGTACTTAGGGGTTTTCTATGTGCTGGTGTCTTCAGCCAGGGGTTTCCCTGGAGCTTGTTGTTGTACAGGGAATTCGATTATTGGAGTTTTACGTTTTAAATTAGTATACACTCGAAAGAAGGTTGTTCTTTATGTTGTTTTGAGTCGATTTAGTTGTCTTGCTTTGGCTCTAGTGTTGAAGATCAGTTCACATCAGGTTGTGATGTTTCATGTCGAATGTCAATTTACGGGAACACTTAGGCCGCGTCAAAAAATGTCTGCTTACCTTGGGATGTAAAGTGCGTCTTGTTAAGAAAAGAATAAATAAATCAACAGAAATCGATCCAGTTTTCTCCCTTGAAAAAACTTTTTATTATCGTTATCCGAATTGAAATCCGAATAATTAGCCAAGTGTCGGCTTCGCCACCACATGTTCACCCATCTTCAGAGGAAGGTGGTAATGGATCTTTCTCATCGGGTTGCAACATCAATTCAACGTTCCCGTCTTCAAAATTTGTTCTCTCACTTCCGATACAACTTCCTCATCGTTAGATGAAACGTTTGAATCTGGAAATTCCTTTCCCATTTTAGGTTGCTGGACATTTTATAGGCTCCGTTGGGGTTTCCTGACCGTAAACTATATAATAACACACCAGAATGCGTCACTCTTCCCAGACTCTTTTCGAAAAACCTCCTACGACTCAAGCCCCCCAAAAACAAACTTATGGCCCTTATTTTGAAAAAATATTTGCAGACAAAGAATCAGTGATGTTTAATGTCTAAGAAAAAACCTTTTGCAAAATTTCGATTTTTCATGTCAGTAGCACTTTAACTGTGATGTTTTTTCTCAGTCAAGGATGTTTCATGTCCCCTTCCATGCCATGCAATTTCATCTTTGGTAGTTCTTTTATTTATTTATGTTGTAATTTGAGAGTTGCTCAACATAATGTCACCAGGATTAGACAAAACCAAATAGTCTACAATATCCTTGGGTTAAATTAGCCAGCAGCGTCCCAGACTCCAGAAATTATTCTGGAAAACTTATATTTTCTGTATTTCAAAGATTTGATAATGTTAAAAAATATTAGCTATGAAGATTGATTGTTTTTTGAATTTGCACCCAAAAATTCTTATTGATTGCAACTAAAAAGCATTTTGATGAAGGTTGAAATATTGATTACAAATTATTCTTGAATTGTGCACGCCTTATTTTCTATCTTTCAGCAAATCATGAGATGTGCCCAAGAGTACAATCTTGGTCTGGACTTGCGACTTGCTGCATACATCGTGGCACTGGAAAAGGTTTACAATGTTTATTCTGAAGCTGGGCTTACCTTCTCCTAAGCAACAATCATTTTAAATTGTAAACTGTTTTTTACGTACATTTGTGCCATTTGACTATTATTGTGAACTTGTAATACTTAGATGTAATGAAGATTCCTTAATTTATGCTTAATTATTCATGATAATGTGCTTGTTTTGATATTGTACACGCTTTGGTTCATACGTTGTGGATTATTAGTAACTAATGCATCAGATTTAAGTTTATAAGAATGGCAAATGCATTAAACTTCACTCAGAGAGTTATTGTGTCTTCATTTGTATTTGCTGCTTCTTCATACCGGGGAGAGAGTGAAAGGACCAATTGAAGATTATTTACGAGGGAAGGGGGTGCCTGATTTCGCTTGTATCATAACCAAATAGAACGAAGTAATGTAGTATTGCTGCATTTAGTATTGATATGGAAAGGGAAAGGATTAATGCAACTTCCAAAGCTAGAAAAAGGGACCCTTGACGATTATGCCCGATTTGAAGACAGGATTAACCGCTTTGAATAAACAAACTGGTGATAGAGGACAGGATTAACCTAATGTAATGTAATGTAATGTAATGGCTTAGCTAATCAGTTATGCAACACCCAAATTACCCCGTCGTTATAAGGGTGTAATTTGGCATAAAGCGATTAAAAAGAGGCAAGGCTCGTTGCAGAATATTAACAATAGTAGCAAATATTGGAATTACAGTACTCCAACGATTATACAGGGGTCCAATTGCGAAACTCAATTGATACCGAAGTAAAATGGAAAGAGAACATGAAAGATTTTAAGAATAACATCAAACAGCCACTCGTTTTCTAAACAACTAGACTTTGAAACTCAGACCCCGTTTACACTGTTCCGTGCAAGTTTGGAACCGTGACAAAACTGTCGCGGTTCGCCCTTGCGTTTACACTAGCACTGTGGAACCGTGACGATTTTGCTCTGCTATCCGGAACAGTTTTGACCCTGCTTTGAAAGCGAACGAATTTTGTACCGTCACGGTTCCGTTTTTGAACGGGACAGTGTAAACACCTATCCGAGACGATTTTGTCACGGATTCACAAAGAGGTCTTTTGTATGGCTGTTTCAGGTAATCGAGGCTTTGATTGTGGCGTAACTACGTTCTCAAATTCTGAAGAAAAGGGAATTCTGAAGAAAAGACGACCACAGAAAAGGCTTGTAGTGTTTCCCAGTCCAAGCCTTGATTGAACTTGGCAGTTTTGTAGTCTAAAATAACACTGAAAATTAAAGCCATCTTGTCTTTCGTCCAAGTAAAGTTTTAATCGGCCTTCCGCTCCATTTTAACTCACAATAAAAATTCGATTGTTGACTTCAGCGGCAAAATAAAAGCCTTGGTTGACTAAATACAGCTTCTTCTAAACAATGTTCTACCATTAAATTAAGGTCGTACCGGTACAGTGTAAACGGAACGGCTAAACGGAACAATTTGGAACCGCGACAGTGTAAACACTTGCGAACCGTAACGGTACAAAATTGTCCCGGGACAGTGTAAACGGGGTCTCAGTAACTTGTATTTGAAAAATGAGACTCGCAGAGTCATAAACTCTTTATCGCTGAGAATTTTCAAATTTTTTCAAACTTTTTTCGCAAGCACTTCGTACTTTGGTTTCAAATGCGAATCCTCAAAAGTGTACAAAATTGGGGTTAGCAGCACACGTTTACAATTGCAAAAGAAACACAAAAGTAGATAAAAGGCTGGTAGGCATTGCAAAACTCTCTAGAGATTAATGCACCTCCAAATCTTCAAACACAGGGCCTAAGTAAAATCAATGCTGCACGAAAATTCATGCTTTATAAAGTCCCTTGAGTGCCTTTTGATGATAAATAGTATTAAAGCTTGCCAGATGGCACCTTCTGAAGTGTTATGAAAGAATAGTCTATAGAAATTGGATGCTACCCATGTAGAATAGTGTCAGTCTTGGTTTGTCAAGCCACGTGGAGCCATCCCTGCAAGAGGTAAGAAGAATTTCTTATCCTGGCAAATTCTTTGATGAGTCAGTCGTCAGCTTATGAAATCAAGTACTGAAAGAACTTTCAGAAAATCTCCTAACATTGTTGTTTATGCCAAAAACTTCTGTGTAAATATCCTAAGTAGTCACTATCTAGTGAATAAAAAATAACATCAAAAGTTAAGAATGCATTTTCATTATTTAACGCCGGTATACATTGACCTTTCCGTTTAAAATTTACCTCAGTGGGCTCATGGAGACCCCCTTGCTGAGGCAGAAAATTGGCAAATTTCTACTTTTGCTATTGTTTTTCGTAACATTATTTGCAAGAGCCACTCTTGTCATTTTGATAGCACTACACCACTGGGTATTATGTTTAAAAGGGTTCCAGCCATTAAACCTTTCTACAAAAAATTAGCATCTTACGGCATTGTAATCTACAATAGTCCTATTCCTGATTTCCCGCGCTTGCTGAAATGGCGTCAGCACTTTGTGTCGGTGATTGTGAAGAACTTGTCGTGAAGTTTGTCGGTGAATGAAAGATGCTAAATCCTTAAGGCTGCGTGCAAGAAGATATTTTCAGTAATTTACTTGCTGTTTCGGTTTTTGCCAAGGAAATGGCTGTTCTAAAATATTCATAGCAGTAGACATTAGGTAATTATCGTTATCATTAGGACGTCTTGGAACAGTCGATGATTCGCTATGAGCATTGTAAGTAAACGTTTTTAAAGGTTTTATCACCCTGTGAGTTATTTAGGCCTTAAATTTAAGCATGTCTTAAATGTTAGATTTTTTCAATCAAAGCCATTTTTAAATTCTGCACCAGCAAAGGTTGATTAAAAGTTAATGTTTCCTTGTGCTGACCATAAATAATTACACGTGCTACTTCTTGATACTTCAACCATTGCCAGAAACATTTGAAACCACGGTAAACACGCAGAACTCTGCGCTTGTGCTGCGGGTTTTCCTGATACAATCTTGAAACAATATTACAGCTGAAACAAGTTTCTTATTTTGATAAAAAATAGCAACAGATATAAATCTCAGAAGTTTTGAAACATTTCAATGCCTTGGTTCAAGTCAAAGAGTAGTTATCGCCAGCCTAAACTTGTTTATGCATTTCGTTATCATCATCTTTAACAAAATTTAGCATCCTGTGATTTTTACGCGCACTTGGAATGCAATTTCCCCCGTGCTTAATATTACACTTGAAACTGTCTCGAAAGTTAATAGATTTTTGCTTTGACTACAGGCTTGAGAACATTCCGCAAAGAATGTTCACTCATATTGTTAAATAGATGTTTTTTTATTTTTGGGAGCTGCTGAGAAAACATCCTCTTACTCGCTGATTTTAAGTCACTTTTAGATCAGTGATCCTACCCGCAGGATGCTACGCGCAAAAATTTTCTACTCTCACAGAAATTGTCCAGTCATCAAAATGCTTTGAATAAACTGATTGGAAAAACAACATCTGGCGGATTTTACAGATTTCTCCTCTTTAAGAATTTATCATTGTCATAAATTATTCCTTGGTTAGCTGGTTGATTTGCAAATGGCGTTAATGTATAATTCAAGTGAAAAATTAAAAAGATATCCCGGGGAGTCTTTCAGATTCAATTTATATGAACGCAAAATGTGGCAAAACATGAGATTACGGTGCGCGAATACATATTCATTTGTTAAAGCAGGTTGAATTCAATGACAATTTGCAGCTGATGGAGGCCTGCTATTTACGAATATACTGAAGAACTTATTTTATACAACGCTAAATATACAATATTTTATTCAAATGTTGTCCTGTACCCTCAGCAAATGATATTTTTTGTGACTGTTCTCTAAACTCTGGGTAGCTAATTTAATGACAGTGTTGAAGTAAATTTGTTCCAAGAAATCCCTTTGCTAGATACAGTCACTTCATATTTCCTAGCCTTTTTACTTTCTATTAAAATGATGTGTTTACCAAGTCCATCTATTTTGGCTTTTGCTACAGAAGTTTCATTTTATTCAAAGGACCAAACAAAGGACTAATGTGTACTATTACTTTTTGCTAGGTGCACCATTCTACGGTTTGCTGCAAGAATCACAGCCGACTGTCCCTCGCATTGCCCTTTTCTCGAGAAGCAAAACACTTTAGATCGATGACAAGGTAATAGATTTTCAAAACATATTTCTTACAAAATAGCAGCTGGATATACATATTAATAACTAACAAAGAATATACATACGAAGATATCTAATATTTCAATCAACTTAGTTTCTATTAAAATGGGCCCTAATAATTCATATCGGTAACTCACAATTCCAATTTCGAAACTCTGCGAATCCCCCAAAGCCGCTTAGAACGGAGAGAGGGGGAGTTGGGTTAAGATTATTTCGGGGTATTCAAACAGGAGGGACTTTTCTCCAATCTTAACCTGAGATGTCATGTTGTGATATCCTTAGATTTGAAAGTGCTTCAAAAAAGAATTTACACCATCCGCGCATTTTCTGGTTTTGCTTAAAATGTTTTAGGTCGGGCGAATCATTTGGAGAGGCGGAGTAAGCAGAGTTTCCCACCATTTTAGTAACCGATTACTAGCGATTACACGTGACAAAAATTCAAATAAATATATAAAGCTAGAGATGACTTCTCTAATAAAAACGTGTTCCTTTGTTGCGACGATGCTAAGTTTTACCACGTTTACCATATTTCCAACTACGAACATGTATCAACATGTATTCTCCCTTAAAATCTTTGGACATATTTTCAATTACGACGATTGTATGTTACGACGATTGTCTGTTACAATGATCTACGGCCTTCAATGCAGTTCACACACCGTAAATTCAAATGATTCCTGGGCATTCTTATGAATTTTTAATTATTGAAAAACGGGCGTAGAAATACGGCAAATGACAAAAGGAACAACTTGGGGGGAGGGGGGTTTGTGGTACAGATCAGATCCTTGATGATGTGTTATTCGATTCACGTTAGACCTCAATGTCAGATGAAGAGAGTTTCAAGGGGGGGGGGGGGCATTTTACAATCAACGTTACATTATCATCACAAATAAATTTGGAGGGGGGGGGGATGCATAGCTCATTTTCATAAGGTGTCTATGTCGGCTAACTTGTCCTGGAGTTCTTTATAAAATAGGAAGCCCCCCGCCCCCTAAAAATAAATTTTGACAAAGAAAATTCGAAGCCCTCTGTTTGATATACTTGGAATCAGAAGTCTAAATTGTAACAAAACTGCATCGCCATATTGGATACTTTATAGTTACTCTCACAATCATAAGCGATCCTCTTCATTTATATTTCTTGGTTTGTCCAACTGGAAGAGGAAAGCCGATAGCATTAAAATTTTCTATGTAGTTATTTTACCAAAATGTTCACATCAGCAACTATTTCTATGTAAACGATTCCCCCAGAAAAGACTGACGCAAACATTTTATACCTCGTTTCATAGCCTTGACACCTAAACGTGTCACTATTTTACTATATATGGTTACGTCCATAAAAGGTAAAGATGTCACCGCAGATGGTAATATAACAACCATTTTAATACGAGACCAAGACAGTTGGTCAAAATACAAGTTCTTTAAAAGAACAACTTACATGTTCACTAAATTTACACCGGTATAGACGCCAAAAATCTATCTAGCCCGTTCTTATTGAATCGCCTTAGTTAATTGTAAATATATACAGGAATTGCGAGCATAAGCGACAAAATCTGGTTTGCCCCGTATACGAGACTGGCTTAAACTGAATTGAAAATGAGTAGGGGAGCACCCTTTGGGACACAGATAGTGGCAAGAGTTGATAAGGGACAAGGAAGACACTATAACCCCCAACAATCTGCTAGAAAGCCTTCCACATTGAAACCATGACTTACTGTAATTGGGAGAGAAGCGCTAGTGAACGAGTTTATTGTTGATCGTAAATAACACACTATAAAGGAGCCTGTAGTCAGAGAAATCGTCGTAGTCCATATATTGCCCTTGAAATAAAAAATACCACTGCAACATATAGCAACAAATCTATATAACAGGTCGAATAAATAAAAATAAAACTTTTACGACCATGCTACAAAGGAAGTTGTTTAGTTTATTGAATCCATTTCGTGACAGCTACAAAAACAGACTATTTCTACAACTACGAAATATAATAAGATACTCAAACAAAATATATTAAAACTCTAGTTTAAATATGCGATACGACATGAGCGATATATATGGTATAAAATGGTAAATATGACACTACAATCTCTAATTGCTGGAAGGCGAGAAATCTGTCAAGGTTTTTAAAAAATTGCACGAATCAGATTGAGAGTTTTCACTTGCGATGCACATTTGTGATTCAGACAGAGCGGGGTGGTATTAAGGTTTAATTAAAGGTTGCTGGATAGTGGCAAAGAAGAGGCATGTAGGGCGTGGGGGTAGAATGCAGAGACATTTTAACAAGATGTTTTTCCCTGTCATGTTTTTCCCATTTAGGGGGAGGAGGGAGCGGGGGAGTGATGTCCCAATCCGATCTAACTTGCAATGTTTGACAACAGCTAAAACTTCCTACTCCAGCATCGAGAGAAGATCTTCACTCGGTAAATCGGGCGGTCCCAGATAAGATAAAAGCTCAGCTGGATCCAAGTTGTCTGGTAGAACCTAGGCCAAAAAGAAACATACTGTCAAGGTTTGGTTTCAAAGAAAATAGAAGAAAATAGAAGACTTCAGAGTACTGAATCAAAAACATTAGTGTCAGTCCTGGTGAGGACGAATGTGGAGCAAAAGCCATAGCAAGGAAAGAGAGGAAAAGGCCAAGAAGAGAGTGAAACAGGATCAAGCTTTAATGATTGTAGCCTTGAAAGTAGATAGGTAGAAAGAGTTATGGAAGCAAGGACAGGATAAAACTTTGCTTTGAATAAGTACACATGCCTGCAAGTAAATGCGCCGTTCAAGCGAAAGAAAAATTGCAGAAGCAGATAAAAGTTTGGCGAAAACAATTTTTAAGAGGCATTCTGTGTCATTTAAAAAATTACAGGAATGAAGAATAAGTCCATTTTGAGCTGTGCCTTTAATAAAGTGTCAACGGAACTTACCTCCAAGCTCCCTTCTTCGTTGTTTTCGCCTCCCGTCTCGAAAATGTTTTCGAGATTCAGATACGAGCTGTTCATATCAGTTTCGGAATTGCACTGGTCTTTGCCGTGATTCAGATCGGTCGAATCGCTCACACTGCCATTCGATTTCGAATTGTTGGTAGATGTCCCTGACTTTCGAAGCGAATCTGACGAGCCTAGCGAACTTGTCGAAACTTTCTCTTTTGCTGCAAAGGAGGAATGAGCAAGCTCCGTCAAATTAAACATGCAAGGAAATTTCTTCAAGCTTCGCACGCTTAGGTTGAAGGCTTAATTTATTCTATAATAATAAATTTTTTTAAACATCTCATTTTCATTGAATACATTTTAAATTTACAATTATACGACTCGCTTTTACAAGCATCATATAATTGGCTTATCTGCATTACAATATTTAGAAGTCAATCAGTTCGGGGCTTAGCCATGGTTTGTTTCGCCGACAGAAGATATAGTAGGTGCAGCGGATAGAAATGTTCATGAGTTTCATCAAGATGGATTTAGTTTGATTTGAGTCAAAATTGAGTTGATGTAGCATGTCGGAGAGAGAGGTAGATGAGGTTCCCAGAATGCCAAGGGCACTCATAGAAAGGTTAACAAAGGTAACGCGTTTATAGGCAGGGCTCAGTTCCTTGATAATAATAATAATAATAATAACAATAATAATAATAATAATTTTTTTAAACATCTCATTTTCATTGAATACATTTTAAATTTACAATTATACGACTCGCTTTTACAGGCATCATATAATTGGCTTATCTGCATTACAATATTTAAAAGTCAATTAGTTCGGGGCTTAGCCATGGTCATGGTTTGTTTCAACGACAGAAGATATAGTAGGTGCAGCGGATAGAATATTCATGAGTTTCATCAAGATGGATTTAGTTTGATTTGAGTCAAAATTGAGTTGATGTAGCATGTCGGAGAGAGAGGTAGATGAGGTTCCCAGAATGCCAAGGGCACTCATAGAAAGGTTAACAAAGGTAATCAATTTTTTTACAGTAGGCGGGTATAATATAGCTGTCTATTTACAATTTGTGTACAAGCTAATTTAGGCCTACTTAACAAAAATTTAGAATAAAAAGCAATTAAAAATGAACAATTAATAATTACAAATATAAAACAATTAGTTAATTAATGAAAGAGATGAAATTGAAGATTAAAAAAAAGATTAAATTTTACAATGCGTTTACAGTTAAAAGATGTTTTATAATCAACAAAAGCTAAGAATCGTGTGACTTACATTGTTTTAGAGGGTCGTTTCCAGATCCTGACAGGCCATTGCTGTGTTGTTTAGTTCCATTTTGTGAAGTGGGGATTCCACTAGATGTCTGAGGAAAGAGTGGAGGGCCCATCGTATCACTAGTTGGAGCTCCTGACACCATCACATGTGACTGAGGAGTACGGGAAGGCGCTTGAGAATTCGTAGGGGTGTTCACAGCCCGATTGACGGGACTTGTTGGAAGGTTCTGCGGTGTTAGTGGTTGTTGTTGTGAATAAGGTGTGCGCGGTTGGCCACCGTTGGGTGACTGGAGTGTCCGCGAGTCGTGTGACATCGATTTTAGTCGCTTTGATGGATGCCCTGTGATAAATCATATTCATCGATCAATTGAAAAGTCGTTACATCTTATAGGTATGCATACAAATGCCCAAAATTGTCAGAAAAGACCTTTGGTGTTACAATAGAGCCGGGCATTTTTTTATACAAAATATGAAAGTTGATGGTCTGACAAATAACTGGAAAATAAAAAAAATGGATCAATGATAGAATGACTGGGACAATAGCTTACCGTTAGAACCATCATCATCTTGTTTTTCCATTTTCACCGACACAGGTTTCCATGAGCCGCTTGAATCTATCGTTACTTCTTCTACATCAGTCCTAAAAAGATGTAAAAAGATATAATAATACGTCAAAAGAACGAGCAGTCTTCGCTTTCGTTGACCGACTTGGTGACTGTTCTTCAATCATAGCAATTAAAATGACAGATTTGAAACGTAGTTTGAAAAAGAATTTAGGCAGTACACGTACTTAGCTAGTGTTGTGAGAATTTGGCACAGGTAGTGATCCACTTCCAGGCCTTCAAGCACCGCGTTCTTACTGCAGACAGGACACTTCCACAGCCCTCTTTCGACGTTGAGTTTAAGGTAGGATTCGAGATCAAAGCAGTGAATATGTTTACAGTCGTGACCACGAGCAGGCAAGACGATCCTACGAACACGTGATCGGACATTTCAGGGAGACTTTGGCACAGGTAGTGATCCACTTCCAGGCCTTCAAGCACCGCGTTCTTACTGCAGACAGGACACTTCCACAGCCCTCTTTCGACGTTGAGTTTCAGGTAGGATTCGAGATCAAAGCAGTGAATATGTTTACAGTCGTGACCACGAGCAGGCAAGACGATCCTTCGAAACGTGATCGGACATTTCAGGGAGACTTTGATCGCAGTTTGCTCAACACCGTCTTCTCCGTTCATAATTGTTTGTCCGTTTACGGCAGTCATTTGGAAATGTCTTTTAACTAGAAGGTGCAAGATTTGAAATTTCTAATACATTTTTCAAGATTCAGAGTTTTATGGTCAGAAATAAAGTTTCCTGCAAATAACTACTGTGTTTTCGTGTTCGTGTAAATCATGTTCCAGGTGAATGGTGCTACAAATTGATATTGTCCCTAATTTCAGGATGCATAAGCACAGAGGTGACTAGCAAAAGTTGTTTCAAATTCACCCCTAGGGGGAAATCTGTTCATTAGAGTAGAACTGGAACAAAAGTGATTGCTACTTACTTTTTGCAATGCAATGCTCTGCGGGTAGCAGTCGCTTCTTGAGCAAACCTTGTAAAACTGAATTGACCGAAGGGCGATGAACGAGTTGCAGGACGAACAGATGAGACTACAGGAAAAAATTGAAATAACATCATATTTCATACTACACATAAAACATTTCTTAGAAAAAACCTAAGTATAACTTAGTGTCAACGGTTTCTTAGGGTAGCAATCGACAGGTTAGGATGCTTTTAAGCACTGCTTACAAAAAATCAAATCATAAATGAAAAAGGGCCTAAACTTGTCACAGGCCCAAAAAATCTTCTTTTTACAAAAGAGAATATGACTTACACAGCAACACTGTGAGACAGTGATTTGGATTGTGTTCCGTCCAGGCTTGCACACGTTTTTTAGTAACAATGGCTTGTGGGATGCCCTGCTGTCACCCTGCTCGTAAAAAATAAGTTGATTAAAAAAAACAGCCGAGACCGATCCAGTTTTACGGTGCTGAATTTGAATTTTTAGACTTCAAAAGAGGATACGGCTACTTAAAATTGAAGCAAATTCAAATTTACATATCGTTCTTAAAGTTTGCTTAATCAAATAAAGTTCTAAGTAGCAAGATTCCTACCAATATTTCTAAAAAGAAATTCCTTCCATTTAATATTCTTGCTTAACCAAACGATAGGGCAGAGTACAGACGAATGTTTAAACATTCTCCAGCCAATAAACCGGGGGGTGGGGGTGGGGGAAAAGTGTAGGAACAAAGTGCAGTATACGTTTGGTAGCTAAGAATTCTTTTTGCGATGACATTCCTCAAGACTGTTGCCAATGTGATCGTTAATTTTCTAGAAACTGCTATTCGATAGTCGACTTATTTCTTCTGATAAGCAAAACTGACGAAACTATCCATGTTAATTCTGAGCATGCGCCATACCTCATTAATAGGATTGAATTGAAATAAGGAAATGTAAACAGATGTCAGTTCATCAAATATATATAAAGGCTTATCTGCTAATGACTGGTGAAGGAATTTACAATATAGGCTGGCCTTTAGAAACACGTGGAATAATTCTGATTAGGTTCAATTATGGATCAAACAAAATGAAGAGCTTTTTGTAATGACTCAAAAGAAAACGAAAACAAACCCTTTCGATCGATAACGGTGTGGCATTGACGCTCACACTGACAGATGCGGGCCAGTTTGTTGTCATGCTCTTGTCCTCGTGATGATAGCATTTAAACTGGAGCTCTAAATCAGGCCTACAATTTGAGATATTTTGTTCACATGAAAAAAATCGTTCAAAAAAGATGCGCAGCTTAGCCATTGCAAGGAAATGACAAGATAAAAGGGATTAAAAGTTAAGGGCGTGGATGTTTAATCTTAACAAAGATCAAGAAGTTGCAATGACAGAGCCAGCAAACAAAAAGATTGACTTGAAGAATGAATTGAGACCTGCACATCAAAGTTTGGTAAATTGTTGCTCTGAGACTGAAGGCGTGATTGCTGACTGCGAGATTGTGCTCTAATCGGAATGGCTGTAGGACAATGCCATTTGGCACCGGGAAAGTCAGCCTGAGGCAGTCTTTTTGCTCTGAAAGGAATTAAGACCAGATTTAGACATCTTAACAAGGACAGGCATATGCAGATTTGTATGAACTCTGAAGATAACTTTTGGTAAAGTTGGATAAGCGGTCAAAATTCTGCGACAAAGTATGACGGTCAATTTTTAATCAGTGAGTTTTAGTAAAACAGATTAAAAGCAGGAAGTTGGTTCCTTGATTGCGAATATCACAAAGAGAAAGAGAGAGCGCACAGGTTAAGTGAAGATAAGATACTTAATTTACTAGACGGCTGCCAAGTCTAGACGGCTACCAAGTGGTTTTCGGTAAAAATGAAGGGACCTGCTTAAATTGAAATTGCGGATAATAATAAAGAAATGACGAATACATACTAATTTGAGGTTTGATATCCATCATGGGCGAATTACAGTTATTCATTGAAGGTTTCATATGAGTCATGGGCATCCCCATCGGGTCTATGATTGGTTTTTGATCAACCGGTCCTTGCATTCCTGAGTTGTCACACATTGGCATATACCGGTTTCCCGAGCCAGGAGGATTCCCTGGCATTGACGTTTGGTTTTGTGGTGATGGTTGGTACTGTAAAGTACTGGGCCGGCGTTGTGATGTAATTGGTTGTACTCCTGGGGTCATCGCCATTCTACTATACTGAGGTGGCATCCCCATATTACCCATATTAGGTACTGGTCCAACGTTTCCCATTTGCCCTTGCGGCATTTGTCCATTGTATCCTGATGAGGGAGGAGTCCTGCCATATCCGGGGGGTTGCTACAAGGTGAAACAAACAGTTTTAAGGATGCAATCGCCGAGCAAAACATTACTAAGGACGTGGCTAAGCTTCTGCTTCCTAAGTATATATATTTTAAATGATTGCCAAATGATGATAGTTTAATATTTCAGAAAAGGATAGAATTTTTCTCGGTCATAATCGCCTTGTCTGAAATTATATGATGTGACATTTCTCAATATTGCCCCAAACTGTCATATCATTCCCGAAATGAGTGATATGATGATACCATACCGGGTACTGCGGAGGAAAATTCGGTTCCTGCTTGACCTGTGCTGGAAACGGTGGATAATTCCCTTGCGGATTTTGCTGCTGTTGTTGTGGCATGGGCGGACCATTGCTCATCAAGTTTTGTCCATACATTGACGATGCCGGTCTTTTCATGCCGGGTGGATTCGGGTACCTAGGCATCATGCCACGCATCTGGGGGCTCATACCTGGTGCGGGCTGCTGCTGTTGCTGCATGTACGGTCCGTTCTGGTTCTGCGCCATGTAACCTGGGTACATTCCTTTATTCATCATCGGTCGCTGGATGCTGTTTGGTGTCATGCCTCGAGCCTGGAACTGTGTCTGGCCTTGCAACGCATAATCACCATTGTTATAGAATTCATCTATTCAAAGATGAATGGAGTAAATAAATTTCAAATAGCTTAAGACAATTACAAGCGCACTCTCACAAAGTTCTGTTAAAGTTTCAAATTTATCAGAAAGCTATCTACTTATTACGTAGCTGTTCAGCGTTAATGAATAAAGTTCAAGCCTAAGTGCTGAAAAGCACTTGAAATTTCCTTGACAACCAATTAACAAAACATGATGGATGTACAGAATCTTCGTTCAAAGGAGGAATCAAGATTGAACATCATAGCAGAGGGAAGTAGGCGACCTCCAAGGGTTGAGAACAGCAAAAGAAACAAATTGGCTATGGTCTACAAGTGCATTGAAAGCAAAACAAATGGGACAATGAGTGAACTATACAATTGTTGTTTGGTGCAATTCTTAACGCCGAAATGAAATAAATCAGTTTACTCACTTTGCTCAGGGTTTTCCTGCATGTGCAACGTTGCTGTTGCTGTTGCCGTGGCCGTAGCGGTAGCCGCAGCCGCAGCAACAGCAGCCGCTGCAACAGCTGCAGCATTGGGGTTATTTGGATTCTGCCCATGACGGTAGGAGTAAGGGTTGCCCTGGGGGGTGTTTGGCTCCGGGCAATATTGGTTATTGTAGATGCCCCCCATGTTGGGCATCGGCTGCATATTATTCATCTGTTGATTGCGCATGCTCTGTGTCTGAGGTGGGAACCCTGTAAAAAAAATAAAAATAAAAAATTACCAACTAATCTAAAATGAAACAGGGTTCCCCGCCCCGCGTGGTTCAAGGCAAGCGTCAATATTTTTCCAACGTTTTTGTTTGAAACCCTCCTTTTCCAAAATTGCAAATGATAATTCACCTGCATCCTTAACGACCATTGATATGTTCGCAATGATTTTATAAACGATTATACGGACCAAAACTGATGATGGTAAGGACGGATTGTGGAAATCTGCATTCGGTTCTTCATTCATAACCTTTTAAAAATCTTTTCACACAGTTTCAAGAATTCCTTCATAAAATTCATAAAAAGTTTTTAACCAGTACACTTAAACCTTTTTATATTTTGGAGAGAAGTTTTAATGTCTAGAAAAGGTATATGGAAAATATGCACCCGAATATGCGGCCTGGTGATCAACCCAAAACGAACTTTTGAAAGCTGACCTCAAACGACACAGGAGTATGCAGAGTTTGAAAGCCAGCTCAAGACTTAACATGTATCATTGAAACATCAGCCAGCACGATATGACAAACAAATCTTAACAGCCTGTTAACTTGATACTTAAATACCTTGATAGCTGGTCACCATTCTCTGATCTAACCAAAGAGAAATACAACAGATAATTCTAATACCTTGAATAGGGTACTGTTTGGGGCCATTTTGAGGGTTCATGTTCGAGTACTGTGGCTGCATCCCTGGAGACATGCCATTATTCATTCCAGCACCCATCATTGGCTCCCCAGTGTTTGTTGGTGTTGAACCCCATACTGTTGCAACCACAGACACTGATGGCTGCTGGCTCGTTGGCTGCCAATCGATTGTCGAGTCCCTGTGGAAGAAATCAAATCTGATCAGTAAACTTCAGAAATATTAACGACTTCAGGAATGCGAGCTCATCCTTTTAGCGAGAGCTTGTTAAGCAGAGAAGAGTTGGGTGGGAATATAACCGAGGATTTGGACCATGAACAAATAATATGCCTACTGGCCATAGAAACTGAGAAACATCCCGGCAGAAATCAAGTGAGTTCTCCTTTGGAAATCAAGCGAGTTCTCCTTTGGAAACCGAGCGAGTTCTTCTTTGGAAACCTGGTGATCTCTCCTTCTTCTGATCAAGATGACAACGCAAGCAGCGACCTGTTCTGTTCTGAAAAGGTCCCTTCACGAAAAAATTAAGCTACCAAGGCTCCGACAGATGTTTGAAGAAATTTGCGTTTACAGAATAAATCTATCGTTATTCTCTACTGTATAATTTTCAACCAACGACAGTTGAGCGAAAACACTCAAAGTTTTGAGAAAAATAGCAGATGTTTGCTTTCTCAACTGTAGCTTAATATTCTTGAACATGTGAAAGCATCTAGTCTTTTCAAAAACAGAGAACCAATTAAAATGGTGAAGTTTCGACAAAATCGGAGTAGACAAAAGCTGTGCTATTGAAATACATTCATGTTGCTGAACAGCGAAAAAACGAGGTGGGTTGGCAAAGGGGAGGGAACATTTCTCAGGTCATCGAAACATTTGTTACATCAAACACCACGCGATTCTAAATTATGCAATCAACTACAGAAAATGGTTACCCTCGTCCTGGTGCCGGGGCCATTTTGTTCGGGTTTTGATTGAATTGCATTGGTTTCTGGTCTCCAGTCCTCTTTTGGTGTCTTAGCAACAGCAGCCTGCCAAGCTCTTCGCACCACAACGAAAGCATAGCTAAGAAAGAAAAAAACGAAAATATAAAAAGCGAACAAAACAGGCAGAGTATTCTTGTTATTTTTATGTTCGGTATCTACAATAAAGATCCTCTCTTAAACACTAATATCAATAGCAAAAATAATAACAACAACACTTTATCGAAAGTAAAAGTATACATCGAATATACGAGGAGCGAGCAAGCTTTCAAATATGTGAAATCATTCTTATTTGAATGCGTCAGCGACGAAGGTCGTTTTTCTCTCCAATTTTTCATCTGCGCGTCAAGATTGCAGCTGTTTTCAAACGTGTGCGGAAAGGCAGATTACTCGAGGAGAAACGGCTTAAGTACAATAAATTTTCAATGAAACGATCAACATAGTTAGTTCTTGAAGCAGTTCTCTGGACTATCATTATATTTATCCCCAAAATGCATGCAACAGCTAATTGTCTTTTAAGCAGCGACCCTACCCCGAATCCATATCCATGAAACTAATAGTTACCTGCAGATTTTGGTGACAATTTTTCTCTTTGTGATGCACAAATTGCAAGGAGGCGGTACCCTGTAGAACAGAAGGTAGAGAGGAAAAAAGTCAAAGAGGGGAACTTTTCATAATATCAACGACGAATCATTTCCATACCAAATCATAAATTATAATGATCATAATTAGTAAATAATTGTAACAACAGGCTAGACAAAACCTGACGATGTAGATCAAAATAATACTAGATAAAATTACCGTGCGATCAGCATGGAACAGTAATACAGAGAGGTTTAAACATTCAATTACATCAATTACAGGCAAACAAATGTGGAATTAGATACAAGCAACGATGGCTGACAGCTTAGAAACAGAAAGAAAGGAGAAAAGGAGAAATAAGGTAAAACTTTATTTCTTATTATGGTATTCAAATTTATTAGGGTGTTTTACAAGTCATAACTGCCAATTAACAACAACCAACAAACATAGAGGCTGTAACTCTATGGCAATTTAATGCCTCTCACTGTCACTTGAAATACCTGTTAGCATAATACAATGGCAACAGCCGTTCTGAACGGGGCTTCATTGGTTTCTACGCATATCAAAACAGTGTTTAGAGATCTAACGAACTGACAAACAAATCGTAAATATATATAAAGACTTGCCTAAATCCAAGTCAAAGCCAGGAGCTGCAGCACATTTGTTAACGACCTAAAATTGATAGTAAAAATTGATATAAATACAAAACCTTGTGAGTTTTACGAATAGTCTCAATAAGCTAAATGGTGTCCTATAATTGAAAGACGCGTGACTGAAAAAAATCGAGCTCCTACAGCGATCCAATCTAAATCAGGTTTGCAATCACAATATTAAATCAGAGTTCTTTGGAATATAAGATCATAAAAAAGGAAAGTTGAATCAAATGACAGGATGTCTTGAGTCGGATTGAGCTAATATAGATAGGTAGAAAATGATGTCTTTTGGAAATTTAAAGCATGAATTACGAGCAAAAAGAATTTATCAATACAAATTTGGTCGATGAATCAAACATTAAAATCTAGAAAAAAAAATTAATATTGACGCTACTTGTTATGTTGATTTCAAAATAAAACAACGTTAGAATTTCGGAAGATGAATAATTTAATTTGGACAGAAGATAAATAATATAGTTGCTTTTCGATTGCTAAATTGATTTTTAAGTTACTGGAGTTTCAGGTTTTGCCCTGTTGCCGACATTAACCTTAAAAGTTTGCAAATTTTGCTTTTCAATAAAAAACAAGGTAGGTGCATTTAACGTGATAAAAGTTGCGCTTTATCCGAATGCCAGTTTTCCATCTGGCTTGGCTCTCCAATTTCGCACATAAAAGTATGAGATATTTCCCAAAACAAATTGTAGTTAATCAAATTAATCAAATTAGCGTGTGTCAATGTTTGTTTGGCCTTGTGGTTTGATATGAAGCGAGAGGCTAGAAGCAAAAATCTAGAAACTCGCCTCCACCTGCTTGCAAATTCGTACTGCTCTGCTGCAACGCTAAATGACACATTCCAAAGAATATTCAATGGATTTCTCAACTCTTCTCTTTAATTATTAAAACTGCTGCTAAACGACATTGGATAGAAGATCGTTCGGGATTTTCAAACATTGCACAATATTCACTCAAAATGATAAGAGGTTTATCGTCTTACATTTTGTTCTTGTACAAAACAGAGTCAAGCAAAATGGAACTTCCCTAGCCAAATTTCGAAGGTTGATTTCGTAAACCTATATTAGTATACACCGACCAAATTTTGAAAATTCGCGACCGAACTATAATACATTAAACATTTTAAATTCTTTTTCAAGCCTCGCAAACCATATGGAAAAATTAACAGAAGAATCAGGCAAATGAAAACTTTTGCTCTGATGAAGCCCTGTATGCCGGGGCGAAATATTAGCCTTCACTGATTTACGTGTATTTATTGTTGTTTATTCTCGGCGTATTGCGGTGTTTCATATTTGCTACATATGAAAACTTGCCGAGAAATAGAAAGGACAGTGAGAATTTTCTTTTGGGCTTTCTGGGTGAAGATTGCCTAGTTCGCTAGTTTTAAGATGTCTTCAGCCAACATAAAATTTTTTGACGTTTTCTTGTCATATCTGTCTTACGCTAAACAAATTGAAACAGCTTTCTAGCCAATAGAAATAGATCTCACAAAGGAATGACTTTAGCTACTTAGGTAATTCGCAATTAATAATCTACATTAACAAAATAGCGATCATGGTTATCAAAACAAAAATTCAAGAGCCACGTGCCGGATACAAATAAATTTAGATCATGCTGAGATGATTTCAGAAATGGTAGCGTATTGAAGCGTATTGATGTTCAAAGGTTTAAATAATGTCGTTCAGATTACAATGGGGTCTTTGACCTGATTTTCGTTTGAGTGTCATCACGGGGTATTGGCATAATGATCCTGATAATGGAAACGGAAGTACCAGTTGACATTAGCGGGTGCCTAGTCTTGAACGATGCACCCTATGAAATGTGGGAAAAACTGCACACATCCGTAACGGTAGAATTAGATAACACCGTAAATATTTTCAACGATGGGCAGTTACATGTCCACCATAAAAATAGTAAAATCAACCATAAAACTGAATGAAAAGGCGTTTAGTATTAGGATGAAATGAAAGCTTTGCTATGTTTATAAAGGAAAAGGTCTCTACATGAGTAACAAAAAGGGCTTCTGATTATCCAATTCAAGGGAAAATGCTGCTTTTTCAAACACGTGCTGTTATTCAAAGTCATTTCAGTTAAATAAATGGTTCAAATACCAGTCATGACATACATAAGTCATGCCATTTAGATCAAACAATACCTTTACCAACTGGCAACCTGGAAGGAGCTTTGAGTTTTCATTAGTTATTAGGCCAAAGCGGAAATTCTTGATCCACTGGAATGTCTACCCACCCTAGCCTGGTTTCAAACATACAAGTCCAGGCCCGAGGAACCTCTCCAAGGAACCTCTTCTCGTATAGACGATCCGTCCTTTGCACAGGTTGACACAACGCTTCAACGTCTGACCCTCTTGGTCTCATACAGAGCTCCTTAACTAAAAAGCACATTAGACCGATTGCAACATTCGCTAAGTGCCCGGCGCTGAAAGAAAACCTGCGCTGATTTTCAAGAAGAATTAGACAAGTGATTACTTGCAAGTGCTGTTTTTTGCCCTTCACTTCGCAGCTTTGAATCCTTCCTTACATGAACATGGGTGGTTGGAATGGAACAACTGGAATATTACTTAATATATTTTTAATATGCAAAAACATTGAAATCTTGAGCACTGGGCAATTTTTGATGACCAACCCCTTTTTACGCTGCCATAAGAAACACTCCTAATACGAGCAGAGAGATAAGAAAACAGCTCTGATAATCGTCCGCTTGAAAATCTTGCTTTTAAAGATAAGATAGAAATGATTCTTTTTGACGATTAGGCACCTCCACCCTGTTCAATTGACATATATAAAAGGAAAAACAAATCCCTTTGACCGATTAGGTGTTCTATTCCAAGTTATCTTGTGTTGCGTTTTTGTGTTTCTAAAAACTGGCTCTTTGTTGTTTGTTTTTTAATAAAACTTTACGGAAACTTTAAGTTGTAAAAGTAATAAAAAAGATGAGAAACTAATTGCTAATCATAAGCTTAGTACTTACTTGAAAATTACATGTTTTGTAAAAAGTAAAATTAAATAGGGGCTTACCGTTAGACACGACATAAGATTTTGTTCGTAGGCCGGCTGGAATGCCCGTGCGTCCCCACACCATTCCATCAACTCGGTAGCTGCACTCTGAAACCCTGAAGCGGTTGCCAAATCTCGTCTGATGCACTGAAGCCGGTCGTTCGTTTGCTGAATGTGTTGCTCCATGCTCATGGCAATGCTCGGGTCTGCGTGAAATAATTTTGATTTTGCTCAAATGGAAAATTCAGGACAGGTTTTATAAAAATACGAGATAGACCAAACATTTGCACATTTTGCAACAAAAAAGGAGACTGCATAGAGCGTTGATTTATTAAAAAAGTAATACGTCATCGCAAAGTCTTATCTGCCGTTCTTTAATGTAACCCTCCGTTTGTCTTTGTATTGTAAGAAAAGAATCAAATTTCAAATGAGACCCCAAAATTAAACAAAAATTAGACCTAATGGTCTAAAACACGATTTAATGGTCTACAAATCCACACTGTTCTTTGCTGTTTGAAAAACAAAACTAATTTTTCTCGTCTTTTGAAAGCAACTAGTGCAACAATTTCAAGGCATTGACCAGGTGAACAAAACAGTTTTAAAAAATACTTAGGACTTGTTGGAAAAACGGCAAATTTGAAAATTAGAAAAGACATGAGCGAGTGCGTGGCTTGTGCTTTAATTGAACAAAGAACAGTGGCAGTTTTGTTTGATTGAAAGGCTTTCTTAAAAACGACAGCAAAAACACTTACCATCAATAACGTATTTATAAGCGAACATATTGCCCGAAGAAACGCATCAACAATTACAAACGCATCGAAGTTTTGATTCAAGTATCAATACAAGGAAACAGTATTCATTGTCCTTGAATAACTGCAACGCACAACCAGCAATAATACACAATCAACTGGCTATTGGCATTGTTAACATTGTTCGCAGTAATAGCGATCCGTTATGCTGGTCGCATGTTCAGCCATCCATTCTTTAGGTGACGGGTATATTACTCTTAATGGCTGGGTACCTTTACTAAACTGTGCGCATCACTAAGTAAGTACAATTACCCGATACAGTGTGACAGGATCTTTGTAAACAGAAAGCAGGGTCCATATAGTGCTAATGTATTATGGTCAAACTCAAAGATCAGTATTCTTTAATGTATGTAGCTTGATTGCAGGCAGCTAATGTAACGGCTGTCAAGCGAAAAGCCCTGCTGAACCATGGCAAAATGTCACAACAAATGTCAGACCAGCTTGTTTGGCCAAACAAATCAGTAAACTAGAACAGTGTACACTCAAAGATCAGACAGACCACTTAACACTTTTACAAAATAAAAAACTTCTTCACTGTTTTAGGCAAGTATTAACGCCTGGTAGCGAAAAACATCTACTAAAACAATGTCAAAACACAACAACTTTCTTCCTGCGTTTCTTCAAGTTATCAACCATAAAATACTGTATCTATAATGTAATTTCCGTTCACTAGATAATGAATAGAACTATTTGAAAAAATTGTATGCAAATAGCAGTCTTGAGAAAATAATTCCAAATGTGTGACTAAATAGAAAATTTGAAATCTGTTTTTTAATTTGCTAACAGCAAACCATGACGTCAAATTTCCAAGAATGTTTGGTTCTCATTTGGCCGCCAGTTTCCTACGATTTAGGTGAGCTCCAGCGTGGGCAAACCTGCGAGTGAGTCGGGATGTTTTACTCAGCCATTGATCTCACTACATTCGACGCTCAAAACCAAGGACCTCCACCAAAAACACTATGGAGTCTTAGACCCAGAGCCTCTCTTCTAACAAGATTTAGTCTCTTACATCGTTCAATAAGCATTTAATCTGTTTTAGAACAAAGCTGCTATGTGAATACGAAAACGTCAAATGATGCGAGACAGAAGCGTAAAGCGATAACATCCATGCCATCAAAATTACAAGAAAATCTACGAATTTTAAAAATAAAAACAAACCGGACATCTGTTGCGGCTGTTGAAGAGGCCCGGGCATGCCAGGCCCCGGACCGGGCCCCGGACCCTGTCCTCCTGGGCCAGGACCCGGCCCAACTCCTCCATATCCAAATCCATCTGGGAATCCAAAGTCATCAATTGGAGTATGAAAATCTCCCATCATTTTTGCTGGTTTTACATATCACACTAACAGCATGGCAAATATCTGAAAAACGAAAGGTCACGTTGGAATACACTTATTTTCTCCGGTAATCTAGAAATCAAAACATAGCATTTATACGAATTAGAGCTACTGGAAATTTAATATATGACCCTTGCTTTGTTCAAGCAAACACGTGTCTTAAATTCGCACAACTCACGTTGGTCATTAAAGAAGGTATTGAATGCAACCTTAAGCATGCAAAAGCACTGCACACACCCATTATGCCTGCATTCATTATTACGAACATTCTCTTAGAATAAACCAGACATCAGTTGCAATATGTTCCTTGCAGATACAAACATCTGCCAATTCCAATCTTATGTAAAACTTAGAAGATTGTCGAAAGCATGCAGAACTTGCGTTCTTGGCGTCATCAATACGAGACGCGTAGATAGGAAACTTGAAAATCCGCAAACAACGACATTCAGCTGCAACAAATCAAGTTATATAGAAACTGTAAGGCATTTTGCTAACCTCTCAGCTAAGCAAAAGAATTTCGGAACATTAGCTTAGCAGTACAAACTACTTGCCAATCTGCTTTAAATAATTCACCATCACAAACTTCAAATAACCAATTTAGCAACACTGGTTATAAAAGATTAGAAATAATGTTCAGATATGCGATCTACAATAGGAAACTGATGAAAAAGATGCGTTATAAATGCTTTATGTGCAGATGATCTATACAATTGTTTGTTTAGCTATTTCTTGCAACATCGATGAATGCGAATCGATTTCATACTTGCAATCAGATTAAGGGAAGTTTATCGTGGCAACAATAGCCACGCAGTTTGATAAAATCTGTTAAACAGCCAAGCAAATCTTGGAAGAGACTACAAATGGCTTAACTTAAACACAAGTACGAATAAGGTTGTTTTGAGGTAAATATAAATCTTACATTCAAAATAATTTTAAGATAATGAGATTATATGGCAAAACCAAAAACAGAAAAATCATATTCAAGAATTATTTTCTAATTATCAACGGACATTCTTAGTTGCATTTTCTTAATAATTTCACTTGGTGACGTCATTTAATGAAGCCAAGGTATTTGATGACCCAGCAGACGAACATGAAATTCGACTTTCCGTGTAAAATTTTGCTCTAAGGAAGTGGAAAACACATGAAACCTAGAAATAGCGCTGCTTTCGTTTAGATCTGCAACAGTTTTACTGGTCACTATAACAAAATAACAAACAAGAATGAATAATAACTGCATAAATATATGGACTATTGAATACAAAAGACTGTAAAAAAGCTTTATGTCAGTTGCTACGAGGCTACAGAGATCTGCTATACAGTCAGGAATGCGAAAATAGCAATAATTGCGAAAGAAAATGAAAAACAAACTGAATGATAGGCTTTTGAAAACAACAAACACTCTTACATCGAGGAGAGCTCCTTAATGGGGTCTTGCTGCAAGTTGCAATGTGTTGCTATTGATGTTGTAACAAACCACACACACTCACACACGTACACATCAAGTTATCTAAGCGAAACTCGAATTTCAAAAAGAATGTGCGCCGCACAAGGACGTTTTAATTAAATATTAAAACAGTTTTCGGTCAATAAAGCAACCGGGACCACATGCTTAATAAGTCACGGCTATGAGCCGTAGGCCGAGGTAAATAACCCAGTGGCCGTCTAATAGGCACACAAATACTAACCATAGCTCAACGTTAAATCAAAAGAAGAGAGCTTATCTGTGATATGGGGTGCTTTTTAATAGTCCTGTTGTCAGTTGAACTCGCACAGTGTAGATATCGTTACACCACGAAGAAAGCTTGAGCATTTTATCAAATGCTTGCTTTTTTAAAATACGTTTTGTAGCACAAATGGCAGGGTTAAAGGAAGCAGGGGCGGAAACTAACTTGAACTCAGAGAATTTATGTTGACGAAATGTTACATTCCAACAAACTACTGTGCAGACGCAACGAGAGAGCACTGTCAGAGCGGGGCTGATGGGCAACGGCCTGAGCCTGGTGTCCTATAAACAAAGGCCGGAGTATTGGTAGTTAGCCTTGCGAACATCTCAATTGGCTTTGAACAAAGAAATACAAAGCGAGAAGAAGCACCTGCTGAAAAGGATTGTTTCTGAAGACCAGAAAGGTGAGAAGCTGAGGAGGTTACAAACAGAAGGCCGGGTAGTACTGTACCTTTAGACGGGTTTGGCGTATCTACCAGAAAGCGAGCTATGAGTTTGTTACAAACAGAAAATTGAAGGCCCGGCTGTTAATTAATTGTAACCGGGATAGGACCCAGTGAAAGGCGTACAAGCAAACAGACAACTGTACAACTGACGGTGCCCACTAAGAGGAAACAGAAGACCGGACTATTTTAAATCTTTAGCCAAAAGTCGGTATTTTCATGACAAAGTTGTCTGTTAAAAGAGATGTAAAATACTTAAAGCAATGGTGGGTGGAAGGGCTGAAAGCTGAAGTCTTCACACAAACTGCAAATCAAATTCGAAGCATCATTAACATAAACATGATTCCATTTTAAATTATACAATTGTAAGGGTTCTTTAACCTAATCTGAGCATCACAACTCAGAACAAATTGTTGTAAAACTAAGAAATCCTTTTGCAAAATGCATCACCATTTTCCAGGCTCCACTTTTCCAGTCTCTCGAGCAATATTTACATTATAACAAACTGACTTTGACCATCAAAAATAAACCGATGCAAATAACAATGATACCGAGAAAGGTATCAAAACAAATACAGCAAACACAATTTTAGAAAGCGTATATAAATATCTCAACTATCCTTGAAACAATCCAACTAGGATACGCAGAAGAAGAGACCCTAGTCGCCAAAGCAGCACTCTCTTGCGCAGCAAATGGAGAGAGGCATACTGCACCGCCAGTCTTCTATCAAATTCATAAATGTGAATTCTTAGGACGTTCACTCGCGTGACCTTGAGACACTGATCTACAAATTCTAATGTCAAACTCGGAAAACTCCATTTAAGAACATTACTTATTACTTAATCAAACCCGATGTACACTTTGCTTGCAATGCAACAAATGCCAGCTTAAAGCTCAATATGCGAGAAACACATCATCGCATTGAGTGCCAGAAGAATATACCCGATGAAATTCGCCAAAGAGGTAGGCTTTGCAATAAGAAGCCATCGATACCCAGTCGTCTACATACAACTTCTAAACTTCTCTTCTCGGTCGGCAGTAGTTAAAGAGGGATAAGGGTGATTCAAAGAAGTTTCTTGCGGTTTGCTCAAAGAGAGCTTACAAGCTGAAGTCCATCTTCTCCTTGCCTTCACAGAAGACATTTGTTACAACATCAGCCTAATCAGCTGCTGTCACTAGAGCAAATTAGAAAAGCATTTCTATCAGAAATATAAGTTCAATAATCAAAATTCAGACGTTTCTTGCCGCCGTATATACTAATACACCTTGATATTTTGCGCTAATAAATATAATGGTACATTAATGGAACGTTAATGTACTGTACTGTTCTGAAGATGTACCAATATTTATTCACTTCTGCCTTGTATTGCACCACAATATTAGCTTGATAGCACTGCATTACAAAATTTTACAGTATTGAATAGTGCCGCACATTACTGAAAATGTTTAGTATTTGACTACAGTACAGACTTGCAGTATTGTACGACGTTATATGTAAAGCGTGGAATATAATTGAACACTATGTTTAGTATTGCAGCATAATATGAGCAACTGTACAATATTGTAGTATAGTGCTGTGCTAAAGTTGACTTCCAATATTGTACTACAGTATTATGCAGCACCTGAAAGCGTTGTCCGTCGTTGAAAATGATGTTCTGTAAGCAACCATGTTGTGACGTATTTAGTGAATCATTGTTGTGATGGATTTACAAAGCAGCAATTTCAATGTGCCTGACAAAACATACGCATGGAAATGAAGACTGGAAATGTTTTGTTATCATACAAAGTATTGCTCTTTAGTAAGATAAAGTATTGTTTACAGCCATCAAGTTTTTACAACCAAAAGTGGGCCATAAACAGAAATCACAAATGATACATGTATAGCATTGTTCAAAATTGTGACTTATTTTTGTCATCAGCCAACAAACATAACAAGGAAGAACAGCATATGCAAAATGTGTACAAAAGGATAATAATGCTGTAATGCTTCACTTTGGCTTCTAACAAGCATGCATGTACTTCATAGCTTCGATGCAAGAAAACACTCTATTGTGGAGCAAAAGTGTCTATTTGTGGAACATCTTAGAGAACCATGATATTGCAGACAAAGTAGCCAACGAGCACTATTTTATTTCGCAATAAAAACTTGGAAGATGATTTATGGTGGTAACTGGTTTTCAAGGACAAAGTCATCAAAAAACAACGAAAGGCTTAATCTGACACAAGGATGTGGATTAAATCCTAGCGAAATCTGCTATCTACGACTCATTCCAAAAGACTGAGTGATTTCTTAACATTATCACAGTTTAGCATTCGATTATCAATCTATCAAAATTCATACTGTGATTGATTCTTTCGTTCAGTAAGAGCATTAAATCATTGATCAAATTCATAAATTATTCCCAAGATGCTCTCGCATCTATCAAGTCATTGGCTTTTAATGGCTGATCGCTTGGGTTTTGATCAATAGTGAATTCTTGACAGCTAGTCTTGTGGTTTGATTTTAAGGCCAAGCAGCACAATAGGATACCTGCCTGCTTGTAGGAAAAGTTTGTTTGAATGTTGCAGGGCCCTGACGGCTTCAACATTCCTTGACATGTGTTAAAATACAATGTTTCATACGCTGCCAAAATGGTAGAACGGACGATGTTTTTCTGTAGACACATCACGCACATCAACCGCGTTCATATACGATTATTTCCTGTTTTGAACTGCAAACAAAATTTAAATTCTTAACCTGATAAACCTCATGAAATCAAGGAGACGAAGTGAACAATAATAACGAAGCGTTTTAGTTTAGATATTGAAAATACAACAAATTAATCAAAATTACGAATCGTACATCGATCGCCAAC